CAGTACATTTTCTGACTTTCTGAACATCTATGAAGACTGAAAATGGTGTATTTTATGCAATAAGAACTTGGACGACAGTAGCACCTTTGATGAAGCCTTTCCTGATCAGAAAAAAAAAATTGGCCTTTAATATTTCTGTTCATTGGAAATCTGCTGTGAAAACCACTTAATGATTACCTTAGAAAAGTGTCAAAATTGTAGTATAAAAGTAATGGAAAGGCCAACCAAACCCAAAATATTGGCATAAAATAACTGAAAAGTCCAATTTATGAAAGTATCAACCTTAGAAAGAGTAATGCACTACTACAAGTAGTGTGGCAAACGCAACAAGAGTTGTAATAAAAAAAGGTCAGAAAACCCAGAAGACACTTGACTCTGTGGCTTATAAAAAGCTCTGACAATTGTAAAAGTCCAAAATCAGGTCAACAAACTCCGATTAACAAAAATAACGAGGAACTCTTTGTTAAGATCGTTTCAAGAGTTAACAGAGATTCCTTAAAGTTTGACTGAAGTAGAAACTGCATGAGCAGCAGCACAGAGGGATACAGACCCCATTCAAGGCCCCTTAAAGTTGGTTTAATATCAAGGGCTGGCTCTTTTGTTTCTCCATCTCTCACATACACACCAAGTGCAGAATGGCCTCAGACCTGGCACGCTGCTCTCAAGTTCTTGGAGCAGATTTCTCTCTAATTTGGAGTTGATTGCTGTGGGCCCTCTGTGAGTGACTAGTGAAATATGAGTGTGGAGTGAGTATGGAGGCTTGGACGTCGTTTAGGGCTCTGTGCATTTGATTATATGAGTGTGCAGGCACACAGCCAATGGCCAGTCTGAGTTTGTGTCTTTACATGTATATTGTACGTGCTTGTGTGGAGCTTCTATCAAGGTCTATGTGGAGCCAGAGTGTTTTTTTTTCCTGTGCACATGTGGTTTTTGGCCAGAGCTAGTGCAAAGACTCAGAGCAGTCTGCAGGGAAAGCGAAAGGCAAAGCAGAATAATTACGTTGCTAAATCCAGAATAAATTATCTGAAAGTTCGTTTATTCGTTTTATTTATTATGCCCATTTTGAGAGTTTATCTTAAAAAGTTAAACTAATAAGAAGTAACCAGAGAGAATTCTTTTGATGAAAGTCTTCCAGTGAATTACTGTAAATTCAGAAGGTGACTCACTAATTTGATCCCTCCCTGATACAAAACTGGATTTTGCCAAATCAAACTTTAGTTTTAGTCTGAAGATCTCTTGATACTCATTTTCTTTGTTTGGTTGTGTAAGTGGGGGTTGGAGGGTGTAGTTTTGTTTTGTTTAACTAACAAAACAATCATCTTTAAAAATGGTTGATGAAAGAAAACGGACGGTCAAGCCTTAAGATTTGTTCCTACTTTTACCTTAGAAATTGAAATAATATATTTTTTAAATGAATTAAGTACATTTTTATTTGTACAATACTAAAAATTTATGTTAAAATACATGTTTACATAAAAGACAAAAAATATAATAAAACTTCTTGAAGCTCTTCATTTTTCTACCGCCATGTCTTGTAATGCCATTGTCAAAGGAACAAAAATCTACCAATGATTCTCAGATTAAGGTGTGCTGTTAAAGATACACCAGACCCATCAATTAGTTTATGTCACATTGCTGTGACATAATCTCCCATCAAATGTGGCCTTTGAAGGATGCAACCTCTGAATATGGATGCAGTAAAGGTTAAAAAAAAAACCCACTTCAGATTCTTTTCTTTTTTGAGGACGCTTATAAAGCCTGTACTTGCAACTACTATGCTTACTTTAACTACTTCCAAAGTTTTACTTTTCCTTTTAGCCTCAGTGTTTGCAAGTGAAAATACCCTAAATGTTTCTTATTTTAGAACCAACCTCTTAGCCAAAGGCAAACATTTATTTTTACAGTCCAGCACGTTTAAGATTAGACTCTGTTGAAGGACATTCCACATAGCGATCATCTTAATTCCATCGTCCAAACTCTAAAATGTAACGAAGTACAGAATGTTTTCTGCTACACCTTTCAATAAAGAAAGACTCAAGGAAGGAAACAATGGAATAGCTGTTTTTCCAGCCATAGCCAGCACACTCACACACATATCAATTTACTGACCAATGTTTTTTTGGATGTGATAAAGTTCAATAGATATGCTCTATGGATTTATATCCTCTGACCAAAAGATTCCTCCATCCAGATCAGTCTCTCCCCCATGTAGAGGAATTCAAGTTTCGAAGTATCTTATTCAATGAAAAATAGCCTTATCTGTAGAATTCAGGGACTCGTCCAGCCTTCCATGTAAAAGAAAGAACTTGGCCTAAAAAGCACGCACATTTGGATGAAATAAGCTTTCTCAGTGGATGTGGTAAGGGAATTTGATCAGGATTATTGCAGAGCACATCTCTTTGGATAATTTCCTGGCATGTTTTATTGGGAGGAGACCCAAAACCCAAACTTCCTGGGGTGAGTATCTCTTCTAGCCAGTAAGCACCTTGGGTCCACTACAAATATCTGGATGGTGTCACTGGGTTTAGGGTACCTCCACAACCCCATCTCAATAGTATAAGCAGCTTCAAGACAACATGTGTGTAAATGACCTGATTAACTTTTCAACAGCTGACAGCAAACTCAAACTACAGATTTCAGGGTCTGGCCAAAAGTTTACAAACCATTTGTCAAAACAAATCTAATGAAATGAGCATTGTTAAGATTTATAGCTTTTTATTTGACTGTTCCTTTTTGTGTTTTATTGTGACAAAGAAGTTCATCACCAAAATGAGTTACAAATAATCGAATGTCAGGAACAAATTACTTTCAGGGTGTTGCCTCTTTCCTCTCACCTTTCAAAAGATAAGCCCGCAGTCTGAGAAAAGTAAAAAATATATATATATTTATAGGAATTATAAAAACAGCTGGGTAATCCTGGGAAAACTCAAATTCACGCATCTTGAATTTATCGTACGTGCACAACAGAAAGAAAATGAAAGACATGATTCAAGAACTTGGAATTCAAATCTGAAGCTAATTTAATGAGGATACATCACTATATATTCCAACATATTGTTCCGGACCATACATTGAACAGTACCAGAAACCAGACCGGTTAACCGTATTTGTGTATACACACTTAGCAAATAAAGAACCCTCTGACTCCATTTCAAGCTGCATCATTTCTTTGAGGCAATGCAGACGCGCCTGGCGTATAAACACAAGTGTTCTGATGTCATATAGCAAGATCTGTTGGTCAAAATCAAATTTTACCACTGATGGGTCCAGTTGCACAATGTAATCTTACGCCTTTATTGCAGCTAGACCTTTCCTAACAACATTATCCTTTAGAGGAGTAATTCTACACCATGAACTTTGACCTACATGCTCATATTCATTAGGAAACATTGAGGAAAGTGCAATAAACTATTCTAAATCAAAAGAAAATATCTTGCAGCAGAGTTTATCCGCTTCTTTTTACGACTTACCTTCCTGCTCTTACTCCCGGGACGCCCCAAGGGTTCATCTTTCTGCTTGGTGTGTTTGCATTCCTGCCGTACTCTATTTAAAGACTGGATCCCTGCACTGGCACAAGGAATGCACATCTGCAGCGAGACCCCCATGCCATTGTGTCTATCATTCTCACAGTATTTCTTTCTAGCAGCATATCGAGTTTGCAACTAGCCCTGCAGGACCTCTGGCAACACAAAATAATAAATATACAACAATAAAAAAGCTGAATCTTGTTTGTTGCATCAAGTGCATTTGGTTGATTTAAGAGTCTCATTTATTCTCTGTCAAGAGAGCAACATTGAGACAACCTTAAGTAAAAATAACGTTTTTAATTATCTGCAAGTCTAACGCGAGTTAGACTTGCAGATAACGCGAGTTTCAAGAATGTCCATTCATTATATCATATTATCCATTATCATTTTGTTTCATTCTTGTTCCAGACATAGTTTCAGCTCGTTGTTTATGTTTTGGTCCAATAAAACTAAGTTTTATTTATCTAAAGTCAAGTAGTTTTAAAATGGCCCAATAGTTTGTTAATATTTTTCCCCAACTATTTAGATAAGTAACAATACCTAGTTTGATAGGTAAGGAGATACTTAATTAATCCATGCAATCCATTCAATTAAAAAACTATTAATTTGGAAGGTTTAGAAACAATTAATTATAAAATTTACGTTAAAAGATTATCTTGTTTTTTTATTGTTGAAAATATATAACTGCACTGTAACAATCATTGTTATGGGTGAATAAAAAGAAAGTTGTAAGTTAATCTGACATGTAAAAAGATAAAACTTTAATCAAAGACTAACTTCACAAAATGTATTGACAATGTATACAAAAATACATTTGAAATAAATTATTTTTTCATGGTTTTGTTTTACAAATTTTCAGTATTCAAATTGGATTTAAGGATACAGATCACTCACCTTTTACAAAGAACATATCTCTTATTATCATTTATCTGTTATTTTCTGTTTGTTTGTTTGTTTTTACCTAAACATATGTTCGATTTGACTGAATTATTTTATTGTCATCGAAAACTAGATAATTAGTTGGGTTTTTTTTCTAAATTGTTCTAATAACAAAACATTAAAAAGTTAATTTTTTTCAACCAGAAGTTGTTTATTTTCAATAAATGTTTTATCAATAACTAAACGCGGTTTTTTTACGTTCAAAGTAAAATCCAAAAAGAAACAAAGAGTTTACACTGTGAATAATTTAAACACTTGAACAAAACACATAGAAGTATTTTTTTTAGAAGCTGGCTCGCTGTGCATTGTAATGTAGAAGCAGATACACTCTAATATAAAGGGAATTATGTATTGTCTAAAACAGTCAACAAAAAGCGATCCAACACAAACTAGCATCATGACAGACCGCCCCACAGAGCAACACGGGAGTACATTTCCCTCCTGTCCGGCGGGTAAAACTTTTCGCCTCCCCCCCTCCGCACAGCCGCCGCTTCATAGCCGCTAATCCCGATTCACAACCCCCGGCAAACTCACCTTGGACGAGCTCCGTGGGTCAAACGGGCATTATTATGTTGTCTTCTTCCATGGCCGTGACTTCGGCGGGCAGTTCTCCGAAGAGAGAGTACACTCGGACTAGTTGGTTGGAGAGCGACAAACGAGATGAGACGGGATGAGAAAGAGTAGGAGGAGGAGGGCAAAAAACGAGGTCAGACGGATCCTGCCGTCTCATTGGAGGAGCTGGTTGTACATCACCCGACAGAGGGGGCGAGTCCTAACTGTAAAGGGATTATCGAGGCTGATCCCAATTCTGAAGTTCAGTGGAATAGGAAAACAAACTGGCTGATGGGAGAAATAAAATAAATAAATCGACTTTAACAAAAACGCATTTGTTTAAAGATTTTGGTTTGGTTTTAGCAAATACATTTTTTTTTATTAAACTTGGTGACACAATGCCAGATTCATTTTGTATAAAAATGTATATTTTTTTAAAATGGCAATGTTTTTTTATGAAAATGCAAGAAATGTAATTCATTAATTAGTTAATTAGTTAATGGTTTATAAAACTATAATTTGTGGAATAATCGTGCAATATATAACCTCAAAAATTATTTGAAAACTGGAAGCAAGATCTGGGTTCAAATACTAAAAAGACTAAATAATATGCATGTAAGCCCCATTTGTTTAAATGTCCCTTAACCAAGTTGTGACCCCACTACACCAATTTTGTCACCATAAACCAAAATCTGGTACACATTTTGTTTGGCCTCTGCATTTCTTATCAGAAATAATAGAGCTTAAACTCTTGGATTTCTTGAAACTGATCAGGCTTTTATACACAGTCCATAAATTTTCAATAGGTTTGGGTTTGGGCCGTTCTGGACGCTTAATGTTAGTGCTGGACCAGTTCTAAAACAAGTTTTGGTGTGTATTTGAACAAATTTTATTGTTGCCCCTTATGTGCCAAAATTCTAACCACTTATCAAGTGATTCAATGTTTAGTTGAATCACTTGAAAACCAAGAAATACAACTTCTGGTCTCTAATATTAGACCACTGCACATAGTGCCAGGCAAGGGGATTGTAGCAACATGCTGTAAGGTTATTTAACTGCCTGCACTTTTGGTGAAATACATAAATTGGGTGCAGATTGCAGTTCTTCACTTCTGCAGAATCAATAGATAGCAGTTGGAACTTGTAAACAATTGGGTGTTTCTGTTTAAATATCCAAACACACATCAGAACTGGAAGGCTAAGTTTCTTCCCAAAGTCCCATCCTTCAGCTTTCCATCACAGTTAAATCCCAACTGACTATATAAAGACATCCACTGTTATCCAGTTGGAAATATTTTTTTTAGCACAAATGATAATTAAATTTTTTGAGCTGGGTTATTTCTGTATTGTAACAATACTTTTTGCTAATAATTGCACACTTGTTTTCTACAAAACACTTTTATTTTGTAGCTGGGAAAATTTGCAAGAACAATGCCTTGGGTTAATGTGCTGAGTATGTGGGTTTCAGCCATAAAAAAATATACATTCCCAATACCACTTGCTTTGTGCCAGCTACTGGAAAGAATGGATGAAGTTTCAAGACACAAGACACAATAGGAATTTACTAGTTTCTTCATTCAACATGCAAGGGACCAAGTAGTGTGTGAGAATCATAGGAGCTGTAGTAAGGCAACTCCTCCTCATGTGTTCGGTCTCACAGAGCAGACCATTCTACAGCCAATATTTATTGCAAGTTTGCCAAATTGTTTGTATTGTGCAGCTTTCCAACAGTTTAAGATTTAGTTTCATGAATCAGGGAGACAATGAAGACATAACTGACCAAATGCAAATTAAGTTTAGATGCACGGTTCTCAAATTGTGCTACTACTACCCTTTAACCTTTCTGGGTGACTGTGCCAATATGGCAGAGTAGTCATCTTGTGATCAGAAGGTTGTAGGTTTGATTCCAGCTTCCTTCTACCACATCTCAATGTGCCTCTGGGAAAGGCACTAAACCCCAAATTGCCTACCGATCTGCATATCAGTGTATAATTGTGTGTGCGTTCGTGAGTGCGAATGGGTGAATATGACTCTAGTGTAAAGACTGAAAAAGCGCCATATAAATTCAGTCCAATTACCATTTAAGTTCAGTCCTTTTAACAGCCTTGCACCTTCTCCAGTTGTACAACTTGTGTTGACTACCTACAATTTATTCAATATTGCATTCTGAATGGTGGTGAAAAGCTAAAAAGCAGACATCGACAAAAATATGAGCAGTTTGAGCCTTTTCCGTTTCTTGGCGCCAGCCAGAGACTACCGGAAGGAGAAGTGCAGAGGAAACTATTTTAAGGTCATCTGTGGAAACTAAAGTGAATAACGATCGACTAAGAGCAGCCCCAGTGAAGTCTTTGTAGGACCGTCTTGCTAAATTGTGAGAAAATGTGGCACAATTTTTCTAAACACAGGACAGAAAAAAGAAGAGGTAATCCAGTTGCGAGTGCTGGTGACAGCTCAGGATTGAAAACCACTGATGTAGAACACTCTGTTTCCGTCTTTTCATGAATGGAAACACAAACAGCTTGTCCATGTTTTCCTCGAATCTGGTCAAAATGTTGACCCTCCTCTGTGAGATGGCATCTTGTTGCGCTTCATTTATCTGGCTCACCTGTTACTCACTGGGTACACACGCTAATAAAATCCATTAGCGCTTCCATCATTCTATGCTCTGGTGGATAATAAACAGAATGACAGTTGCATCTCATTATCTGAGTCAGCGACCTTCTATCTTCCGTGATAAATGTAGGTGGAGAGGGAAAAACACATTTGTCATCGGCAAGTAAACTAATAAAATCCCACTATCTTCATTTAGTTATTGTTAATTGTCAAGATGTCATATCAGATTCCATCAAAAGGCCCTATTTCCTTTCGGGCATTAATATAATTTCAGATTGATGTAAATGATGTGATTTGGAATGATGTGGGTTGGAATAGCATCGCTTAATTTGAACATGATGGCAATAGGAATATGTAAAAAAAAAAGTTTTTATGGCCTCATACTTTTTCACATTTTGTCATGAATTGACTCAAAAGGTAATGGAGTCAAATCAAGGAGAGTCCAGGAGGAAAATCTATTAGTGGATGCAGAATTCTTGAGCCCGGATCAGCAGTCAAATTATTCAATTATTAATCCGTCTTAATTAATGTTCATAGATCTGACAGAGTTGGAGCTGTTTCACAAAGAAAAATGAGGAAAAAAAAAACCTCAGACTCAGCAAGTACAAATGTGAATACAATTCATTAAGGATTATGAATCATTGATGTGACAAAGAGCCACTACCTTGGCATGCTGCTGCAGCAAAACCTGTGCTTTGATTTTGTCACCTATTCTAATAACCTTTTACCTAAATTTCTTTGGGAGCAGTAATGAGGGACTGGTCCCCAAACTGACCCAATTTTATAATTAACAGACTCAACATGCTGAATGGATTTCAGTCAATTCACAGGGCAAACTAGACTGACATCAATTATTGCACTGAAGAGGGGATTTCCAGTGACCAGCCAATCCACACAGACCCCAAGGTTGACCCTGACCATCATGCGGTGCTATAAAAGTGTTTCAGTAAAGTATCTCATTAAGAGCATCAGTTCAGTGTTGAGTAACCATGCGTAAAGGAGAAATGACTTGCTTTCTATTTAACTTATTTCGGTACATTAGCTTACAGTAAGCTGTTCTTATGCAGAATTAATTTTTACATGTGTCAAATTGTGCACTAATTATAAATATGCCTTTGTTCTGTGTCAGTTTGTGTCGTGGGACAGCAGGTGCTTCTTGTTTTCTCACCACTCAGCTATCTAAAGGACCTTTGTCTTTCAATTTGAGTTTGAGCATTGAATCCTTCTTGTTGGGACATCTGCAGATGAGACATCGCAACGGTCAGGGAATTCCTATCTGGCTGAGTCTGCAGTCATTTGTGCCGCTTCTTTTTTTTAATCCCGTCCAGTCAAAATCTTTCTTTTCTAAGATCCTTTTAATAGTCTTTATTGATGTCGCCTGTCATGGCTCTGCAGAATACAGGTGTCAGGATTCCTGGTCTCAAGTACATTTTGAAGATTCTTTTTCAACATTGTACATCATTTATTACTTAACTCTAAGAAGAAAGGAAAGGTTTATTACATTTACGTGAACATGCGTATTATTGTAGCTAAAAAATGCGTAGGAATTTGCTAAGCACAGACTTAAAATTGCTCAATTTCACTTGTAATAAATATGCACAACATTTTAATTAGGATGATGTTTGTTGCTAATTAAGACTCATTTAAATGATAAGAGAATATATGAATGCAAGAGACAACACAATAGAAATACAATTTCAAGATTCTTCTTGCTTTAGCGACATTCCTTTTGTCAGTGGGACATGTAATTATGTAAAAGAAAATGTTTCTGTTCATACAGACAAGTTTATATTGAGTTTTGACTGTGAATGTCTGTCTTTGTCTGTCCTCTGCTGGACATGGTGAGTGTTTACACACAGGGTTGATGTGATTTTAAGTTTGTGGATTCGATTCAATTTTTATAACATGTACCACACTTCTTGGCACCTCTGGCAAAGACAGATAAATTTAGTAGATTAAATTAATGCTCTTGCATGGGCTAAACTTTGAAAAAAAAACTAACCTTTTTACTGTAATAAATTAATAAGTTGGATAAAAACTATTCTGAAGGTGTTAAAGCCACAAAAATTGGTACTATTGGTATGAATGGATATTTTTTGTAATGTTAATTTTATTTTTTCAAAATTGAAAAGACAGTTGAATTTGGCATTCATACAAGTCATGTGTAATGTGTGGTCTTTTGGTGACAAAAGGGCTAAAAAGGAGCAGCAACTCTCATAAACTTAGCCATAAGTGACTCAGCCACAACTGGAACAGTGTCAAAGAAACTTTCACAAAGAGTCAAGTTGACATCTTGACTTTTGTGGCAATTTTTTTTCAGTTATATGTCTTTTGAAATTATTCATCTCATGCCTATGATATGTGTTTTGTTACACTGTTTTATGAACATTCTCAGACCGGAACTTGTCTAAGCTACAAGCTGAATGAGTTTTTTCTTTATCCTTTTACTGTTGCTGTAAACAGATGTGCTTCATCTCCATAACAACTAATTACATGCTATTAACATACCAACTGGTAGGCATGCCAGAAAAAAGCCCGATCTGCATGACCTTTGCGAATTGAAATGAGGAGTTTGCTAAATTCGGCACGTCAGATGATACTAAACCTGATGGCAAGTTTTGGCATTATTTAGAGGACAAACATGTGAAGAATCACCAAATGCATTGCAAAGAGTGCAGCTCTTTACAATTTTTCCTAAGATTGAAAAAATTTAATAAAATTAGGTTGACTATGGAAAAAGTGAAACTTGGATAGCACTGGGTTTTTCAGCAGGCTCTTGATTCTATAATTAGATCACATCAACAGAAATTCTTAAAAACAAAATAAAAAGGGCCTTATTCCAAAATGGATCATGAACACAGGAATGGACAAGCATTCCTCTCCATGCTAAAAAATAATTTTTATGGTGTTTTAGTAGATGTTGTCTGATTTGCAAAATGGGGTTGAACAAGATACTCAATGTGAGAGTGCTGCAGTTATTGCTTAGTTCAAAACGATTAAAAAGTGTTTTCAAGATAATTTTTCTGTCCACAGTTTTATAAAATGAAGAGTTCTATTTTCTTCTCTGTGTCATGCCATTTTCATGTAGGCAGCTTTTAGTACAAAAACAGGTTTTTCTGATATTCTTCCAGCAGTGGGAGTTTTGCGGTATAAACATGTGGGTTAGGTGTCCAGACATTTTTATCAGAAATAATAACATTGAGGCCCACTGTACACAAACCACAGTGACTCATTCTGTTTTTGTCTCTGCTTGGCCTAAATATGTTTTGAATTCCAATTCAAGTGAAACTTGGGCAACAGGCTTTCAACCAGTCTGAGTAAGCTGTTGAATGTAATAGTGTTTTTTTTTTTGTTGTTGTTGTTTTTTTTTTTTTTTTTCCCAATATAAATGCAGGTAACGTCATCATGATGACAATGGTGGCCCTTCATTGCTATTACAACATGGTATTGGAATCCCAGTGAGGGCCAATATTTTTACCTTTAAGGTCCAGATGTGTCTATAATAAAAATAATTTTATAGAACTTATGAATTTTATTGAAATGTTGAAATGCCAAACAAGTAGATTATAACTGTGCAGTGGAAGGAAAATGCTTATTGTTCTGGAAAATGTTAAACTTCACAGACTTGCAGGACTTTGAAGGTTGCTTCAAAAAGTCATTTCTTCACAGTACCCTTCCAACATGTCCTGGACTTTCTTCTGGTTTTGCTCCCAGAGCAAAATTTTGAGAAGACTTCGCCACGGTGGCGACCACAAGGTTCCCTGACTAGATGCCTGAGCCACATCAACAGGTTACTTTAACTTTGGAGGAGTAGCAGCTGTTACCTGAGTTCCTCCCAGATGACTCATATGGGAGTGTCTCACTCCAGACACTGTGTATAGGAAACTTGTTTGTGCTGGTTGTCTCCACAACATTGTGCTTTTGGACAGTACCTGTTGCTTTCAACATGGAAAAAATGTCTTGTGTAAGTAAAATAATCTACCAAGAAAAATAAGCCTCTGTATCTTCCTGAAAAGGTTTAAGTTAGTTTTGTTTTATTTCAAGCGTGCTAAGATATTTGCAATAGAAACTAGATAAAAAAATACTTGGCAAGATTTTGTGTTTTTGCAGTGAGTTCTCTCTCAACCACAACAGACCGTTAGCTTTCACATCACTGCAGACGCCACACCAATCCACCATTTGATAGGTAAAAACTAAGTTCTTTAATTACCATGTACCATGAATCAATCTTTCTCAATTGACTTGCTGTGTCAATGGAGCAACAGCAACAGATTTTTGCTCAACAATAAAAAAGCTAATTGTAGACACATGCCCACAGACATGGCACTAACAGATGACATGCCCACATATACAACATGAAGTTTCCCGAATAACTGCAGCAGGGAGGCATCACCAAACACCCACTCTGCAGTTTCCATTCATTGTTCACCAAGGCTGCTGATGGTTAGAAGAGTGCATGGCGTCACTCCCAGGCAGTAGGTGGGTGTGGTCTTCACTGACTGGTTGAACATACTAAAGCCTGACTGCTGACAGAAACGCACATTCACTCAGAGAACACAGAAGCTGTTTCACTCTTCCTCTGCTCCATTTTACCAAAGCTGAAGCGACATCTATAAGGTTGGTGTTGGACTTTTTAAAGCTAGAAATCAATATTTAACTGTTTTTCTTCTGTTCTGTTGTATTTAGTAGTTTCTTTTTTATGTTTCGTTCCTTTAAAATAGACCTGAACTTATCAGAATCTTGCGAACGTCCTGGGAACGTCTGTAGCTGACAAGTTGTTGGAAAGCAAATATGTCTCTGCCATTGTCCTTGCTGATATGTCTGTCAGTCTTCCAGCTATGTTTGGGAACATCACCTGTGGAGAAAATCATTACAGCCGGTAAGTAGAGATATGGATGCAATGTGTCCTGAATATATATATGTTTTATTTTGTAACACAATATAGTGGTTAAAATGTAAGCATATCCAAACAAAATGTAGGGTTTGATGAGTTTCAACTGTTTTGCCATTAACACAAAATCATTGCCAACAGTCCAGAAACAAGTCAAACAACATCAAAGCGTAACTTTGTGGTTTCATGTGAACATTCTGACACATCGTCAAATGTTAGCGCTAAAATACTAAATCATATATATATTTTTTTTTTCTTTTTTGAGAGAAGAACAAACTGTATGACAAAGAAGCTAGTTTGTTTCCATCAGTCTGCGAAACCCCTTAGTAATCACAGAGAATTTAAGTTAATGGTAAGATAGTTAACAAAATGATCTATAAATTTAAACACAATAATCCGATTCTGCAAAAAAAAAAAAAAAAGGACTTGTTCTAAAACTTTGGCTTGCTGACTTCATGGTCAAATAAGTTGTGTGTTTGTGGATTGATTCCACAGCTGATGACTCATCATTGCAATAAGATTGAGAACCGCAAGTCAGAGGTTTTGCTTCAGCCACAAGTCAGATGAATTCATTATTGTCACAGAGCTGTGTATTTTGGTAGATGGGACTAGTTTTGGAAAAAAGAAATAAGATAGTGCTGTTAATTAGCAGGACTTATTGAGTTTGCCATTAGACATTGATTTGAAATAAACCCACTGCACTGCTGGTCTAAATGGGCAGAATGTTGAGACTCATTCTTGGCCTTTCTTTAGCCCTACAAATTAACTCAAGCTCAAGTCAATTTTTTGTCTCTATTCCGTGATCTTTGTTTACTGAAATGCTGCATGTCACAGTCAACATACCTTTGTCTTTCAGAAAAAGTGAATCTTTTAGGGAGTTGGCATGAAAAAAGTCCTGAGTCAAAAGATGTTCAGAGGGCGGCTCACCATGCTGTGGAAACGTTCAACAAAAATTCAAAGTACCAGATGTTGTTCAAACTGGTATCAATTCAGAGTGCTAAATCCCAGGTTGGACTGATTTTGCTTAAAACAAATTTGATGTACCCTATCAAAACATACTTAAATCATTGTTTTGTCTGGTTCTTTCTGCAGGTAACCAATATGATCAACTTTAAAATCATTGCACTCCTCGGAAAGACCAAATGCCCTAAGACAAAAAACCATGACTTGAAAAGTTGCATTTTGGACAAAGGGGTAAATTTGTTCACCTCTGTTCTTTATAGAATCATTAAGAAAATGTATGAATTTTTATTCAAATGTATTGTTGTCTTCTCTTTCACAGCAACTAAAGTGCCACCTTGTTGTGACTTTAGAACCCGGCAGCGAGAAGTATGACCTTAAAACCAATAAATGCCACAAAGTTGTAAAGAATGGTTAATTCCTTTTGACAGTGTCAAGATAACCTGAGATCATCCCATCATTCCCAAGCTGGAGTTTTCAAGTTAACAGTAACAATACATAAAGTTACATTTAAAATTAATGACACAAAGTAGTATCTATACCCAAAACTTCAAAAAAATCAGCGTGTGTTTATTTTTTCCCATGCAAGTTTTACTTTGAAATTATGTTTCTTTTTTAATTTAATCATAAGAAATCATAGTCAAGCAGAGAGAGAGGGAGAGTTGCCAAGCCATGAAACAGGAACAGCAGGCTTCCTGATAAGATGAAGTAAGCTTGAAGATTTATAAAAACAGTTGAGACTATTCCTTATTTCACTGCAAGAATGTTTTAAAGATTGAAGTCTAAACATAATGAGTAATTTGAGAAAACTTAAAGCAAAATGCTTATTTTAATGAACAACTTTGGTTTCAAACAATAAAAATAACGTATGATTCCTGTTTTCTTTTCAGAATAACACCTATAATGAGTAACTAATAATACATGGTTATTATAGTATTATAAATGACTGTGAAATCAGAAGCTAAAGAGGTTAGAGATGTGATTTTGATAATGAACTTGAAATGATGTAAAGTGTGTAACTGTAATTAAAGAGCACTGATGTTGTGTTGGAGGTTGATAGTAGATGAAGGATTAGGGAAAAGAGGAAATAAAAGGAGAGCAGAGATGAGCAACACCTCAGAATTAGCTGATTTTGATTTTGATTGTGCAACTCAAACTGTTAGAATAAAAAGATTGTGCAGATAAAGGGTTTAGGGTGACTTTTGACCAAGACCAGGACATGAACACAGACATCAGGTCATAATGTCTCTAAGACAATGATGGACATGAGATCATCTATTCAAGCAAAAAGCCAATAAAACAAGCCTGGCAACAGTGCCAACCAATGCAAGTGTATCTAAAGGGTGGAGAAACGCTATCAAAGGTCAAGACAAGAAGCTGAGGACCTCAACATCAACCTAAGATCCAGGAGCTGCAGGTCTAAGTCAGTACTCTTCCTGCCAGCACCCAAGGCCAGTGTGACCTCACATCTATGCAGAGATGAAAGTTCATCAGACCTGCCTGCCCTCATCGATCACTGCTGTGAGTCTCCTCCTGGTGAAACACATTCTCCATCATTAGGCCAGTTCTGGGGTTCAAAATTCCACACACCATCCATCTCTTCAAGTGTTCCCTTTTTAGTTCAAAGTGTCAGCTTTAGGGAAAGATAGGATAGATATGATGATTGATTTTTTCTGATTTAATTATTTCTGCAACTGCATTAAGCTGTACTGACCCTGTATTTACTGTATTAACAAATTGCTTTACTAATAAAATATTTAGCATAAAGAAAAAGCTGAAAGATGTTGTGGACATTCAATTAATATATCAACTCAAAGTTTTTTTATGATTGTAAATGATTCAAAGTGAAAAAGTTGAAAAGAAAGTAACACATCTGGAAGGCAGTGTTTATCCTTCAAGCCAATCTGAACCACCAATAAAAGTCCCACGACCTTTTACATTTTCAAAACATCTAAAATTATTGCCCCAACTTCAATTAAGTGCAACAAAATTAGTATTGCATATCAAAAGTCTGCAGTAAAGTTCATGCATATTAAAATTCTTCCATAGTCTCTAAGTTAAAAAAAACAAGGAACAGGAAAAATATGTTTTTACTCATTGAGATGCTTTTCAGATGTTCATCACCTCAATCAGCTTCTCTGGATCTTTACCAGGACGTAAAGCCGCACTGTATTTTTCCATTTCTGACAGAAGAATGAGCTCCAGATTCTATGTTTAAATATCTATCTGCTTTTACAGTGACTAAATTTAATCAATCTTAGTTACAACATCAGGGGAAAATTTTCCTTACTGTTTTATAACATGAGGCTGTCCGGGAAAGCAGTTTTAAAATTGTTTCTCTTTCTTGCTAAATAGCTCAGCTCAATGGATACTTTTCAGATTACCATTTTAAAGGTTTCGGGAAACCATATCTGTTTTTCTCCACTTTATCTTTCCACTTTTGCCACTTTGTGATTAATTTGCTTAAACTCCCAACGTCACACTGAAGTTTGTTACTGTAATGTGATTAAAACAGTAAATGTTCCACAAGTGTTAATACTTCTGCAAGAATAAGATTAACTACGTGGACAACTGGCAGTGCTGCAGTCTCTATGAAAATGTTAAGGCACTGTGGAAGTAAAAAGACCTTGGACAAATACAAATCAGAAAATGTTTTCATAACAACAAAATACACAAACAGATTTGTGATGTTTGGTGTTATACTGACAATGTTTACCTCATTTCAGTATTTCTGAGTTTGAGCAGAAACTGATCCACCATGGGCAGCTCCAAGTTCAGATACTGAGCAACCTGACTACAAGAAAGGGGATCTTGGTATTTTTAAAATTAATATTCTTAAAACAACAATAGAGTTTTGATCATCTATTTTGTAGAATATAAAAAAATTCTACAATATTTGAGAAACCAAAGGTTAAAAAGAAAAGGAAAATTTGTTTTTTGTTTAATCCACTTTGTCTATTTTTGGTAATATTCTTCTTGATTTTGATTTATTACAGCCTTGCATTCTTAGATGCTACATGTTAACTTATCAGAACATGGCTCCCATTAAATTTCATTCTTCTTAATTTTTTCACAATAGGTCACAAAACAAACCCAAAACATATTTTAGATGGTTTCCTGGCATTTGCCTGTTCAATCAAGACGCCCCAACATGTCAATTCTTGGTCTTTGAGCCAAACAACAAACACCCTGCAAATGTCATCTCAACTACTTGTCAGGATTTGAGTTTTCTGTGTGTTTATTTTGAGTTTCCGTGTCTCCTTGTTGTCCTGTCTACCCCTTGACTGTTCCCAGGTGTGTCTCATCCCCGGACTAACTTCTATGTATTTAACTCCACCTTGTCGGGTCCTAGTTGTATGTTTGTCGAGCCAGTCTATTCTGTCCATTTGTTAGACCTGTTTGGTACCAGTATTGAGCCTTAGATTACGCTCTGCTGTCGGTTTTTGGACATTTTGGATTTACCTGTACATTTTTTACCTTTTAATCTCCTTTATCTCACTTCTACCTGGGTGAACTGCACCTTCCTCACTACAACTTATGGCAGAGGGAGCCGACAACAAACAAGGTGAGATGACAGCGTTTCCGAGGAGGACTTTTGTTATGTTTTTGACCTGTTTAAAAATAACTAATTTATGTTGGAATTAATTTTTGAACTTTATGACGAGTTCGTGCAGAAGAAATAATTGGCTCCAGAGTACGCTGCAGCCACCGGCTGCTGCAGCCACCGGCTCCGTCTTCCACCATTCCTGCCTTCGCGCCAGTCTCTGCTCAAACCACAGTTCCCGTGGCCATGGGGTTCCAGGCGGCTAGGCTGGCACCTGGCCAACAGGCTTCAAGGTTGGTGGAATGAGCTACCGCCCCAGTTAATGAGTCCCCATCGGCACTTCCAGTTGGTCCCCGAGATCCATCGGGGCCTCCAGAGGTCCGGGCCCTGCGCCAACGCCGCCCTCCTCCACTAGTCTGCACCGCCGCCGGCCTGACCTCCTCTGAGGAGTCTGCCGCTCCCTGAGGCCCACGCTCTTCGGTGGAAGCCTGAGCTCCTCTTTCGACGGCACCCGAGGCCCGAGGCCCAGATCTCCCATGATGGCCCGCCTCCTGAGCTTGCGCCCACCCTGGTTGGCTTGTTTTTTGTTTATGGACTCTGACCTCCTGTCCAGTGTCCCTCCGTCCACCCTTGTGTTTTTTGTTTTTAGACTAGTTTTGGGCGTCTGGCAGCTGCCCTTGAGGGGTTGGGGGAGGTTCCATTTAGGACAGAAGAATGAGCTCCAGATTCCATGTTTAAATATCAATCTGCTTTCATGGTGACTAAATTTAATCAATCTTGGTTGCGACGTTAGGGGAAAGTTATCCTCACTGTTTTACAACATGAAGCTGTCCAGGTAGGCAGTTTTAAAATAGTTTCTCTTTCTTGCTAAGTAGCTCAGCTCAATGGATACTTTCCAGGTTACCATTTTAAAAGTTTTGGGAAACCATATGTTTGTTTTTTTATTCCACTTTATCTTTCCACTTTTGCCACTTTGTGAATAAATTGCTTAAACTCCCAACGTCACACTGAAGTTTGTTACTGTAATGTGATTAAAACAGTAAATGTTCCACAGATGTTAATACTTTTACAAGAGTAAGATTAACTATGTGGACAACTGGCAGCGCTGCAGTTTCTATGAAAATGTTAAGGCATTGTGGAAGTAAAAAGACCTTGGACAAATACAAATCAGAAAATGTTTTCATTACAACAAAATACACAAACAGATTTGTGATGTTTATGTTATACTGACAATGTTTACCTCGCTTCAGCCTTTACCTATTCCGCCCATTTTATAGTTTAACTTTTAATGTCCTCTAAGCTTGTGAAACACAAATACATAATACAATAAATTATGGATTTGATTTTACCAGACAGAGATGTAAAACCTTCTAAATTCCACACATATTAGTTTATGACACCTAATCTTCATCTGTTCTACCTGATAAATAATGACCAATTCTAACATAAACTTGCAATCTGTATTAAAAGTTACAGAAGTAACACAAAAAGGTTATATTTGTCACTTTTTTAATTTGGTAAGCCTCTGAAATAAACACATTTGTTGCATATTTTATTTGTAACAAAATATGCACGAAAAAAAAAAAAAAAAAAACTTCTGTTTTTTTTTTTTTTTTTTATAAAAAAGACTGATGGAAAAGAGCTTTAAATATAAATTGTTTTATAGGACCAAACAAAATTCTGTGCTGCATCATATGTGTCTTCTGTTTTTCCCAACTCTTTTTCATAGCTTAAATGTTATGAAAAAGAAAACGTTTTTCAAGTTTTTGTAATTCCTCAGAGATACTTTTTTCTTCCTTTCACTGAGTTCAGAAGTGGTCAGACGCTGGTCTCAATGTGAGGGGACATCTTAAAGCTCAGCATATGAGACAGCAGTCTGTGTTGATGTTGGTACCTGACACAAACACAAATGCAGGAAAGTTATCAGCAAAAATGAAGAAAATCCAAAAACATGTAGGTTAAAATGATGTCTGGCATCACCAAGAGGCCAACAAATGTAAGTGCACCTTAAAGCACATCAGTGACAGATGTACTGAAAATATGAATGCAGTGTCGATGCAGCACTTGAAAAGTTAAGGATTTTTCAAGATAATACACCAGTGGCAACATGAAATCCTTTTTCTGAATAAAATCACCCTCTTACTTGTTGATGACCCTTTGAATCTCTCTGTTTTCCTTCTCTCTGAGTTTGAGAAGAAACTGATTCAAGATGGGCAGCTCCAAGTTCAGATACTGAGCAACCTGAACACAGGAATGGGGAACTTGGTGTTTTAAATATTAGTATTGAAAAAAAAATACAAAATGTTCTATAATATTTGATATACCAAGTGTATTTTCACAATAGGTCAGAAAACAAACCCAAAAAATATTTTAGATGGTTTCCCAGCATTTGCCTGTTTAATCAAGATGCCCCAACATGTCAATTCTTGGTCTTTGAGCCAAACAACCAACCTAACCTAACCCTAACCCTGCAAATGTGATCTCAACTACTATTGCAAAAGGTAAATCTGTGCTTCAAAGGTGGACTTTGATGAACTGCAGTGTCAGTAGAGTTGAAAATGTCCACCACTTTGTCTTAGAGGGAAGTTAAGACAGTTGTGTTTCTTCTTTAGCATTAATACATTTATAGTTTTTCAGTCTTTTGAAGAATTTCTACACACATGAAATGCATTTTTGCCACTTCTCTCCACAGCCTTGTGCTTTTGGACAGTACCCATTGCTCATGACATGCCCGCATACACAACATGAAGTTTCCTGAATCACTGCATCAGGGAGACATCACCAAACACCTATTCTGCAGTTTGCCTCCAATGTTCACCAAGGCTGCTGATGGTTAGAAGTAGGTGGGTGTGGTCTTCACTGACTGGTTGAACATACTAAAATCTGACTGCTGACACAAACACATATTCACTCAGAGAACATAGAAGCTGTCTCACTCTTCCTCTGCTCCATTTTCCTCCAGCTGAAGCAACATCTATCTATAAGGTTGGTGTTGGACTTTTTAAAGCTAGTAATCAATATTTAACTGTTTTTCTTCTGCTCTGTTGTATTTAATAATTTCTTATTTTATGTTTCGTTCCTTTAAAATGGACCTGGGCTTATCAGTATCTTGCAAACGTCCTGGGAACGTCTGTAGCTGACAAGTCGTTGGAATCCAAATATGTCTCTGCCATTGGCCTTGCTGATATGTCTGTCAGTCTTCCAGCTGTGTTTGGGAATTCAACCTGAGAAGAGACTCTTTCGAGAAGGTAAGTAGAGATATGGATTCAGTGCATCCAGAATAGACCTGTTTAGTTATGCAACACAATAAAATGGGATGAACATCTAAACACATTGTCTGTGTTTAGATGTTAAGTCAATGCCCCGATATGGTGAAGATATGTTTTTTTTTTTTTTCTTGAATGTGAATGAACCAGATGTATTTTCTATTACACTGCTAGATCATTTGTATCATTCGCTTTAACCATCCATCCATCCATCCATCCATCCATCCATCCATCCATCCATCCATCCATCCATCCATCCATCCATCCATCCATCCATCCATCCATCCATCCATCCATCCATCCATCCATCCATCCATCCATCCATCCATCCATCCATCCATCCATCCATCCACTTTCTAACACCCTTGTCCCTGTCGGGGTCGGGAGGGCTGCTGGTGCCTATCTCTAGCTTGGGAAGTTTACAATTCTCCTGAAGCTTCTCCTCACAGCAGGAGAAGCTACAACTCCTATCAGGTTGTTGTCCTGGTGTAAGGCGATTGTTTTAAATTTTCTATTTCATTGTGTAAAAGAGGTGCTGTGATGTGAAATAAAGCAATTTTACTGCTTGTCAGAATGGCTAGAATGATAAGTCTCCTTCTTGCCCTTTCTTTGACCCTACAAACTGATTCAAGCTGAATGGTTTTTGTCACTATTCTGTGATTTTTGTTTAAATGTTTACTGGTTAAAGTGTATCTTTTAGAGCCTTGGTCTTTCAAATCGACTGAGTCAGAAGATGTGCAGAAGGCTGCTAAATTCGCTCTGGGAAGTTTCAGCAAAAAGACAAGGGGGAAGATGTTGTACAAGCTGATCTCAATTAAAAGTGCTAAAATCCAGGTTGGACTGATCTTTCTTAAAACAAATTAATGGACCCTAATTAAACATACTTCTTATCACTGTTTTGTCTGCTTATTTCTGCAGGTAACCAATGTGATCAAGTATAAAATTGACGCAGTCTACGAAAGAACCCAATGTCCGAAGTTTAAAACCCATGATGTGAAAAACTGCATTTTGAACAAATGGGTAAATCTGTTCACCCTCTGTTCTTCATTTAACCATTGAGAAAAAGTTTCGATTTTCATTCTATACTTATTGTCGTCTTCTCTTTCACAGATACTATTGTGCCACATTGTTGTGTCTTTGAACCTTGGCAACAGCGAACATGACCTGCAAAGCAGTAAATGCCAAAAAATAGCAAAATAATGGCTAATTCTTTTTTACAGTGTCAAGATAACCTGATATCATTCCATCATTTACATGCTGGAGATTTTAGGTTAACAGTAACAATACATAAAGTTGCATTTAAAATCAATGACACAAATTAGCATCTATACCCAAAATCAAACTTCAATAAAATCAGTGAGGTTGTGTGTTTAATGTGTTAAGTAAAGCTCATGTAAGCTTTACTTTTAAATTCTATTTCTTCTTTATTTTAATCATAAGAAATTATAGTTAGGCAGAGAGAGAGAGAGAGAGATTTATCATTTCCCTTATTTCAATACAAGTATGTTTTAAATAATACATTCATATCTAATTGAGTAATTGAATAAAAATCAGAGCAAAATACTTAATGTTTTCTCTTGTAAGATTGATCAACTGCAACTTTAGTTTCAAATAATGAGAATAATGTATGATTTTCTGAATAACCCCAATAATTACTCACATTATTATTAGAATAATAGTAACTAATAAGATATGGTTATTGTAATATTACAAATGACTGTGAAATCAGAAGCTAAAGAGGTTAGAGATGTGATTTTGATAAACCTGAAATGATGTAAAATGTGTAACTGTAATTAAAGAGCACTGATGTTGTGTTGGAGGTAGATAGTAGGTGAAGGATTAGGCAAAAGAGGAAATAAAAGGAGAGCAGAGATGAGCAACACCTCAGAATTTGCTGATTTCGATTTTGGTTGTGCAACTCAAACTGTTAGAATAAAAAAACATGTGCAGATAAAGGGTTTAGGGTGACTTTAGACGAATACATGCAGTCTGTGTTTATGAAAGACCACTCTAACATGAACACAGCCTCACAGCATGTGGCCTCAAAATGCACTTCCAACGTCATCTAAATTCAGACCCCAAAGGCAAAGAAGAGGAATTGAGGCCTTCCTTCCGTGCGGTCAGGTCACTTACATCTCTATGGACCAGAAGATGTTGAAACAAGGTGAAGGGGGCTTCAGAGCTGCAAGACAAGAAGCTGAGGACCTCAAAGTGCATAATGAAATCAACCTAAGATCCAAGACCTGCAGGTCTAAGTCAATACTCTTCCTGCCAGCACCCAAGGCCAGCACATCAATGCAGAGATGAAAGCTCATCAGACCTGCCTGCCCTGTGAGTCTCCTCCTGGTGAAACACGTTCTCCATGTCTCACCCTCTCCGAAGGAAAAGCAGAGAAAGAAGATGGTGGAGGGGAAGCAGCAACAATGGTCTAAAATATCTTCACAATTGTGATTGATTTGAAGAAAATTACTTTCACAAAATAGCATCTATACCCAAAATCAAACTTCAATAATAAGTTGTGTTCTATTGAACTATTTCTATGTTCAATAGAAATAGTAAAACTGGGTGCAGATGTATTTTTTTGGTAGAACACTCAAAAAGTCTTACATTTAGCTTTTATAAAAGTTAATAAAGAAGGGTTGAATAAACGTTGGTTGAAACGTATGTTTTTTGTGACTTCTTTGTACAAATGCAGTGTTTGCTTTAACACCACCCTATGCCAGTGACGGTGCAATAACACCAACAATAACAAAATTATGGAAATAAGGGATTAAGACTGGCGGCATCTGAGAATATCAAGATCTGAAATATTTCGACATATCAAACAGCAACAGCTGTTGAATCTCAGAATTGCTACAATTGTGTTATGAAAAACACAGGAATGCCTGTATTTTTAAAATGTTACAATGTGAATAATTCAAGAGAAAGTTCAAGGCAGTGTTCATCCTTCAAGCCACACTGAGGTTTGTTATATGATTAAACCTGTGAATGTTCCACAGATGTTAATACTTTTGCAAGAGTAAGATTATCTATGTGGAGAACAGGAAGTGCTGTAGTCTCCATGAAAATGTTAAGGCATTGTGGAAGTAAAAATACTTTGGACAAATACAAATCAGCAAATGTTTTCATTACAACAAAATACACAGATTTGTGATGTTTGGTATGTTACAGTCAATTTCTGACAATGTTTACCTCATTTCAGCATTTACCTTCTCTATCTGTTTTACCGTTTGACTTTTAATGGCTCTTAAGCTGGTAAAACACAAATACAATAATAATTATACATGAAGTGTTTTACCAGACACAGATGTGAAATCTTCTAAATTGCACATAGATTAGTTTATGACACCCAATCTTCATCTGTTCTACCTGATAAATAATGACCAATTTTATCATAAACTTGTGGTATGCAATCTGTATTTACACTTAGAGAAGTAATAACATAAAAAGATTATATTTCTCACTTGTTTAATTCAAGTCTCTGAAATCAACATATTTGCATCAAAATTTACTTCACATTCTTTCTTTATAAAAAAAAAATGTGGAAAAGAGCTGTAAATATAAATTGTTTTGTAGGACAAAACATAATTATTTGCTGTATCATATATGTTTCTTTATTTTGTTTTTCTTTTTTCCTCAAACTCATTTTCATAAGTTTTTCAGGTGTTTGTAATTCCTCAGAGATACTTTTTTCTTCCTTTCACTGAGTTCAGAAGTGGTCAGACACTGGTCTCAATGTGAGGGGACATCTTAAAGCTCAGCATATGAGACAGCAGTCTGTGTTGATGTTGGTACCTGACACAAACACAAATGCAGAAAAGTTATCAGCAAAAATGAAGAAAATCCAAAAACATGTAGGTTAAAATGATGTCTGGCATCACCAAGAGGCCAACACATGTAACTGCACCTTACATGTTTCAGAACATCAGTAACAGATGTTCTGAAAATATGAATGCAGTGTCGATGCAGCACTTGAAAAGTTAAGGATTTTTCAAGATAATACACCAGTGGCAACATGAAATCCTTTTTGTGAATAAAATCGCCCTCTTACTTGTTGATGACCCTTTGAATCTCTCTGTTTTCCTCCTCTCTGAGTTTGAGAAGAAACTGGTCCAAAATGGGCAGCTCCAAGTTCAGATACTGAGCAACCTGAACACAGGAATGGGGAACTTGGTGTTTTAAGAAAAACAAGACTTACTTTTACTCAAATATAGCTTTAATATTGAATAAAATGTAAAATATTTCATAATAATTAACAAACTAAGAGTTAAAAACGGTAAGGCAAATCTGTAAATCTTTGAACCAAAGGTGGACTTTGATGAATTGTTTTGCAAGATTTGCAGTCAGTAGACTAGAAAGTGTCCACTACTTTGTGCTAGAAGAAAGTTAAGACAAATTTGTTTGCTGTTTAACGTTAATAAATTTATCTTTTGTCTAAAGAATTCCCATTCAGATTTTTGGGACATCTAGGAAATCTATTGACCAGAGACGAAAATGCAAGAATATCCTATCTTATATGGTTACTAAATTGTAGATTCCCAAATCTGGAACGAATTGACAACCTGTGTCAAATTGTCATAAAGCAAATGGATGATAGCAAACTGTGATCTACATAAAACACCAATAAGAAAATAATGGGTCACAGTCAGTCATGAAGCAAGTTTTAGTTAATGAAAGATCAACATTAATAACTCATTGGCCATAGCTGTAACTCACGTCATTGCTGACTTCTTCTTCATGCATGTCCATCAGGAATATCTTCATGATGTCATCAGAGGGACCCTGCAGGATTCGTTCCCACAGTGGATGATCTCTGTGACTCAGCTTTCTTTTTTCTAGGAAAAACAGCAAGGACATTGGATCAGCTTTACTCTTTTTCATTTATTCATTGGTTTCAGGTTGAACAGCTCAGCCTTACCTCCACTCTGGTGAACACAGTACAATGCAAACTCCTGGGGATCATTTTCTATCTGCATTACAAACAAATCAAAAGATAAACATTAGATCATTCAACATGTGGTCTATTCACTATTTTTCTGACTGAGCAAAAACAAAAATGCGCTATAAGAGCAAATATTCTAAACTTGCCTTGAACTTGTTTAGCAGCTGTTCGATGACTTGGTCTGTGGTCATCCTGCTAGAGATGCGAACTTTAGTTGAAGTGTCAAATGATGGAGTGAATATAGAGGTCTGCAAAAGTCAATGACAAAAAAAAGAGGTTGCTCAGGATTTTATACGGCATAAAAGTGGAAGCTCAGTTAGCTGACTGTGTATTACTTTTTGAGTTTGTCCTGTTGTAACATTTTGATTTTGTAGTTTTTTCAATGATTTTTATATGATAGTAAAGGAATGATCTCAATTAATTTTGTTTCCTCCAATTTCACTTATTTTCTATGATCAATATATTTAACCATCTGCCTCTGTATGTGATGTTTAACTGTCCACTGTTTAACTCAGGATGAAGGGGAGGAATGAGGCTTCCCCTAGGCAACATTTCTTCTAAAACTACCAACATTTTGGAAATCTACAAAATCACAACATTAACAGGTAAACTAACATGACATTACTAAAACACATTGACAAATCCCATCAATGAATAAGTGGAGTGAGAAGCCAGTGGACATAGTGTTAAAGTCAAAAAGCTTAATTCATGCCCCTTTACTTACTTTGTAGTTGTAAAAATGTCCGTTGATAGAAAAGCGATGCTGTTTTTCTTTCTCTCTTTGTGCTGCTGACTTGCCCCTGCCCTTCCTCCTCTTCACCAATGAGACATCGCTCATGCAGCGAACAAGGTTGGACTCTGGCTCCAGCTCAGGGCTCCTGTGCCTCATCGGACGTAGGGTGGCAGTCTCATAAACAGGAGGCCCTGCGAAACGTATGAAACATCTGTTTCAATCCTACAAAATAAGGTTTTCTTGAAGCACAATTTAAGTGTGAAGAAAGTTATTTTCAGTTGCAAAAGAGCGGTTAACAGAAGTGCAAAGAAGATTCTAAAATTATAACCCAGGAACTCCAGTTTAGATGACACTGCAGGCAGCAGATGCCAGGGTTTGAAAGACTTAGTGAAAACTGCCACTAATTTCAATAGCATGTTCATTTCGGCAATACATTACTAAAGAGGACATTTCATATTATCTAGAAGATAATAGTCTCTAAGTCTCTACAAACACAGAATCCATAATTCCATGCCTTTAAATACCAAGCTGCGTTGTATCAAAATTTGTGATCCCACAATGACCAAAATAGCCAGATCGGACTTTGGGAAACTTTGGCAATCATTGCTTAACACAGTCTGCTATGTGTCCACAAAGGTAACCCTGAATGCAGAAAGAAAGGTACATTTTAACAGTGCATGTTATTTGGAAATACAATTCTTTGAAATCACCAGATAGGTACCACAGTTTAATAAGAGGTTAAACAAAATTTATTATATAAACAATTAAATTCTCAAATTGGGCAGCTGACAACAAAGTTCTCTTATTTTACTTTTAGTTTTATTTGTTACTGATGCAATGTTTAGGCCATTTTGTTCCCTTTTGCAAAACAGGCATAACGGTTTTGCCAGTTTTATAAGAAACATCTGCACACCCGTGTGCAGCAGCCAGTTCTTTTATGTTCTCCGTAGATTTAGTGGTGGTGATATGACAGGTGACAACACACAATTGTGATGTTGGCTCCAAAATGTACTTGGTGCACCAAATACTTCCATTATTGTAATTTGGTAAATAATGACACTTGTAATGCAAATTTACATTAAAAGTGTCCGTTTTGCATTAAAAGTGTCACTCAATGATAACAATAATAAATGTTCATGAAGACTTCATTTGACATGTCATGTTTATGACAGTGCACACCTCTTCAAGTAAAGTGTTATCATAGAAACTTAAAACCCCACCTGGCAACGGGTCTTTGACAACTGTTTCCTGTGCTGCCTCTGTCTCTGCCATCTCATCTATCTGGTGAAGCTCACTGTATTCTCCCCATCGTGACATAGTACTGCAAAGAGACAGGCCCAGGAAATGACATCACTAATAACAGAGTCCTGTGAAAGGTTTTAAGTTTTTATGTAAACATTACTTGCCTTATAAACCTCAGGTTTTTACAGTTTTAAATTAATATTTATGTTAAAAAAAAAATGATTAAAAGCTCTGAACCTTTTGCTCCCCAGAGGGCTGATTGGGCTGACAGGATCTAAAACATTTGGGAATAAAAATAAAAGAACAGAAAAAATCTGTAACGGTGCTTTTATTTACAAAGAAAGAAGAAAGTGGGAAAAGATGGTGCTGGTGTGTAAAAGATCAAAAGTTAACCTGGTAGAGGATCTGTGAAGACTGTTTCTGTTGCTGCCTCTGGTTCCTTTATCTGCTGAACCTCACTGTATTCTCCCCATCGTGACATAGTACTACACAGAAACACACCCAGGACATGACATCAGTCCACAGTCATACAAAGGTTTTTACCTTTCCAAGTAAAAATGATCAAAGTTTAAAAAGAGAGAAAAAAAAAACAACCTTTTGCTCCCAACGCAAGTTGGAGACTCAAGGGGAAGAATCTGTTTGTCATCCTGTATCTTCAGTCTTATTGGTCGCCGTACTCCCCAGGAGATGTTCAGAAAGCCCTCCACTATCACCTGTCCTCCATGCCCCTGTTACACAGACACATGTAGTGTTGCTCACATCTTTCTGTAGGTCTCAGTTAGTTATCCTTCAACTATTCCCACAAACCAGAAGTAATTCAAAAGCTGTGCCTCGCACCTGAGAATAGGTGAGATGCAGCTGAGTCTGGTCATTCAGGTAGCAGTTGTAGGTGTTCAAAAGTGACAAAAACGCGGCTCTGAAATTAATAAATAAATAAAAAATGTTGCACAGCAAAATAAAGAACAAAGAAATGCAACATTCTTGTGAAAGTGTCCATGTCCATTGACTTTCTTTTCCACATTTCTACATGTTACTATCAAATACATGCCACATTTTTCAGATTTGTTTGTGTGTAACACTTTTTTCCCTTCCAACTCTTCAAGATGTATCTGACGAAATGTGGAAATCTCTGTCAAGGGATCTGAATACTTTTACAAGAGACTGTAAACAAGAAATGGTTTTAGTGAGTTTTTTTTTTTAAATTAAGACATTTTCCAGAAAAATATCAGAAACAGAATGAACAGAAAATAAAACAGAAAGCACTGAATCACCTAGACAGCGTCCTCCCGCTGCCTGCTTGGATCACTGCAGGCAGAGGATCTTTGTTCATCTCTGTTCAGCTACTGCAGAGAGAGAGAAAAAAAAAAACAGGATCAACTGTGATCACTTGCGACTACGAATACAAAGCAGCCATGCTGAATCCTAAAGCATCACTCAGTATACAACACAAAACCTGTGAAACAACAACGCTAAAACCGGTCTTCCTGCACTCATACAACCGTCATAGTGTTAATCTTTTCAAAATGCTACTAGAAAATGAAAGTCTTACCCACTCTGACATTGAAAATCTGAGATAACCTCTTGATTTTGTCTTTGTCCCAGTGGATTTCTTCTTTCTGTGCTTTGAAAAAAAAATTCCAGCTCTTTCTTTCTCTGTCTGAAGTTATATTTATCCCGTTCTCCCTAACCATCCCTTTACTCTTTCACTTTCTTTTTTTCTTTCTCTGCATGTTTCCAAGAGATTTAATAACAGTGCTCCACCCAGTAACCAGTGATGACAGCGTAGGGCAAACCATTTGTTTATATTTTGCCCACAGACGCTGAAGCCTCCCACTGGAACCAGCGACTGCTGGAGTATCTTTGCTCCTACTCTTCTTTTATTTACTCCGGTTTTCTTTGGCATTGTAAAAGTAACAGCAGCAGTGGTTCATTTAATTGACATTCCCCTTTGTTCTTAGAGTTTTTATCTGCCCCAACCTGTTTGTTGTGGTGAAGGAAATGTCTGAGCTGTTCATTTCTGGTTGACATATGAACTAAAGAATTGCTCAGAGTCAGGCGCAACCCAATAAAGCTTTATTCAGTTCCCAGAATTTATGTGGTTGTCATTTGTTTGTATTAGATTTAATGAAGATGGGGACAATTTTTAAATTGTCTCTATTGTTGGTAGAGGTGCATATTTAGTTTCAAATGGATTTATTTCTTTAAATTCTAAGTATCATTGAAGAGTAAGTATAGAAGGTGAGTCCCAGCAACAGTTTGAATCTTTCAACCTTTTTTTTTTCAGGATTTCAGGAGATCCATTTAGCCCAATGGATTTCTCCAAACCAGACCAGCTAGCTTGTCTCTGCCCAAAAAAAAAAAAAAAGGATCGCCCCGTGTACGATGCTTGCATACCACCCCCATAACATGACATCTTACATTTATTTTTAGAAATAATTAAAGCTTAAAAATGTTTGAAAGAATAAAATAAAACACTTTACTTGTATAATTTCACTTTGTCAAAGAATTATACTATCAAATATAGTAGAAAAAAAAATCTTATTGCACTGTGTGGATAAAAAAAAGGAGATTATCGACCATTTCCTTGTGAAAACAAGTCAACACTCGAGATGTTGTTCATCAGCAAGCAACCTATTGGAACTACACGATTATGTTCACGAACAAGAGAATTCTATGTTACAGAAAGAAGCTTTAATAACACATAAATAGTATTTTTTCAGTTTTCCAATTGTGTCATGGCCACTTTCCTCAATTCAGGAAAGCCCAATGCAAATATTTCATTTAAACTGGATATTATCTACATGAGACATGCAACAAGCCTTTTATATTATTCACTTCTGATCAGAAAAACACCTGGTGGGTGAAAAGCCACAATGCACAGCCAGTAACTCAACTTATTGTCTTCCTGTAAGTCGTGCATGTGCCTTTTCCCGCTTATAACCAACTTGCAATAGATAGTAATTCAAAGCCTTTGTTTTGCTAACACAATGTTAGTTACAATAATTCTGTTTGAAACCCTCAATAATTATACCCCTTAATAAGATAATGAGGAACAAAACTGCCAATTCACTCACATAGCATAAACAATACCAATCCTACATCTTTTCAGTGTTTGGTTCTGTGGAAAGCCACATCAGAATCGGTCTCTATGAAAGATCAAATACAAGTTCTCCCTACCTGGCCAGGCTTTCGTCTGATCTTCTAAGCAATGATGTAGATTTCCACTACATGTTTAGAAGTCGAATGTTTGTGCATTTGTTTGCGATCAAAGGTCTGAAGTACAGTTGGTGCTTCAGGAGGTGAGCATGTGTAGCAACCCCAGAGCAGCTGGTTAATTATTGCAGAACACGTTGAGACAATCCTCAGAGGGAGTGGCTGACTGACACCAGATCTGACTTGACTTTAGAATGTGAGCATGTATGAGGGAGAGAGAGTGATAGAAAGAGAGGTTAAAAGAGGGCGAGAGAGAGGAGGAAGCAGAGAGAGAGCGAGAGAGAAACCGCGTGTACAAACAAAATGAGACTTGAGGATTTTCAAATCTGAATCTGATAAATCTTTTGTGTAGCTAAGCCTTTCTTGATGCTAAGTTCAACAGATCAACTCAAACTGGCTTACCAAGCATATATTAAAACATGCAAAGCAAGTTCTTTATCAATACATCACAACTCTGAAGGTCTGATCGACTGCTTATGCCATGCTAAAGGCATGGTTTCTTTGATTATTGTTGTGGTCTTTGTAAAAGTTGCTTTAAAACAACTTTAAAACAGTCCTATATTTCAAACACATTTCCTTATTTTCTTAATTCTTTTCTTACTAGGTAGTGTAAAATATTGCAGTATAGCAATTATGTCTTCAGAGAATTTAACGAGTAGAAAGTTTTAAATTGGCAGTTTGTATTTCTGTACAGGAAAGTTTCTGAAACTCACCAGGTACACTTTTAAAATGTCTTTGCAAACTTTGCGAAATGTACAGTTCACTTTCTCACAATTTACCAGAGTCTGAATTCTCAAAGTCAAAGAATAATTTATTTGGCCAGCTACAGAAAGAAACTTTGAACCTGCTGTTTCAGTGAGAATGTGTGATTGACAGTTGTTATGCATAATCACAGTCCTCCAGGGACTGTGATTGGTTGACTCTCAAAACAATACAACATAAAAAATATGCCCTTACTAGGCAATGATGAAGCCATGCAATATCTAATTATTTGCCACACATCAACATATTTGACCACAGATTATTTGCATCCTTGTCCTTACGTTGATTTTCCGTAACTTCACCATTTTACTCAGCCATCCATTTGATATTAATGTGGTCATTCAGCCATCAGTAATCTATTGTGTTTGCTTGCTTGTAAAAAGTTGTTTGATCTGACAAAACAAGTAACATAAAATGGGGAAGTAAAGGATGTGAAACCAAACAGGACAAAGGAGCAGAGCCCACTGCTGGCAGAGCTCTATCCATTACAGAATATCTCTCTGATCTTCCCTTGTACAGTTCACAAGACACTATTAGGTTTGCTAAAAGTTCTCCTCACTGTTCTGACAATGCGTCTCCTAAAGTCTAAGGGGCTTTTAATGTGTAAAGCTTTTCTTAAAATGAAATCACCAGGCGTTACTTATAGTCCAAGATTTTTTTGAGGATCAGTTATTTTTTCCACAGCTTAGAGACTGCTTCCAGAATCTCGAAAGACTTTCCAGAACTTGCAAGACACTTTCTTGGAACCTTCATAAAACATAAAAAATCTCTCTGTCAGAAGATCAAGTACTCTTTGCAAACTTATCGGTGAGTTTTCCAGAATGTGCCAGGTACATTTCCAGAACTGAGCAGTCATCTTGTGCCAAGTTTTAGAAGGATGTCTTGAAGTTTTATGAAGTCTCAAAGATTTATCATATTATCTAGCAACCAGTAAGCTTGAGAATATGATAAGCTGTTTTGTGTTGGTATTTCTTAGCTTTGAACTTAGCTTTTTAATTTGTTTTACAACTCTTCTGGGCAATCTTCCTCCCTTCATTTCATCGTTATTTCCTTCTTTCTCATTGAGTCTTTATAAAATTTGATGAACATTTGTGGCTATATAATTTTCTCATTTTTACTTGGACAGTATGAAGTAAGTGTATTTTTATAGTTTAAAAGAAAGTCCAGGACAGATCTGACTTGGAACTGAATGCTGAGTCTCCCTTGAACAGATTCATCTGCAAGTGTTAGGCAAGTTTTGGCAAGTATCTTTTTGGTAATCATCTAGTTGCTGCAAAAACACCTGAAAACCTCATAGTCATAGCTCATGACAAAGTTTGGGTTGCTTGATAAGTTGTGTTTACAAAGGCCCTGGGCCTCTTGAGGTTACATTCCTCAGCTTGGGTGCTCCTTATTTCTCTGCAGTATTGTGTTGTTTTAACAGAAAATCAATTCCTCTAAAACCTTTTAGGTAAAACAATTGTGCTAAAATCAGTCACAGTCCAAGGTCCAAGCAAAATCTTTCAAGGGAAAAGTATTGTATTTAACAGCATAGCATGTACCATAAAAAAGGACCTTTGAGTTACTAAAGGCTGTTAGAATTGTGTACAATATACATTAAAAAGTTTTGGTTTTATATGTGACTGTTGTTTGATCAGCAGAGGGAGCCAGAGGATCTCTAGACAATATCATGATTTTTAAAGCCAGAGCGTTAAAAATCATTTTGCCATGTGTGTGTTTGTATTCTGCTTTTTTAGTTCCAGTGCTGTCTTCTTTAATATGATATGGGACATGCTAATGTTTTCCCTTCTTTTGTTGGATTCTGATAGAACAACCAAAAAAGAAGCTAAGCTATCACTTAGCAGACAGCATCACCTAGTGGACAATAAGAAGAAGAGCAAATACACTTACTTTCCTTTTGATTATAAAGAGATCCTTGTTTAACTGAAAAATATTTATATGCATAGCCCTTCCATTTCAATTATTTTTATGGTTTTCACAGGCCAAGACAAACTTCTATTAAATTCTATTCTATTCCATTCTATTTACATCTGCTTTTGGAGTATTGTATGCCAAAACATGATTTTTGCCACTGTTTTGACATATTATTGAAATCACAAATCATAAGTTAACAAACCCCACACACCCCATCACACACACAAAAGCACACCCTAATGATGACTTAAAGATACAGACTTCCTGTTGGAGTACAATAGCTAAGTGCCCTCGATGCTGGATGGATGAGCAGTGAATGAAGTGAAATGCCATTCCTTTCTTAAAATAAAACAGAAAGTTCAGGCAGACAGGCGACAGGTGGACACAAAGACTGTCTCCTGGATTCTGTGTATCCTGGATGTGTGCTTGACAGATTATTAAGCAGTGAGCTGCATAACAATCTTGTGTGAATACATGTTTGTAGAAAATATCAGCGGTATGGATGTCAAATTGTTTGATAACAATAATTAGGCACAATTTTGATACGATTGAATTTATATCCTTCAATAAATTTGTTGTGCTTCTCTTCTGCGAGATTCCTGACAGGGAACAGAAACATCCCAGTGTGATTTATTTTGAATAAATATAAAGTGTCCTGTCAGTGTTGTTGACCACTACGCATGCTGTGTTAGGAGCCATCCGAGCTCAGAGCATAGCTGCAAAATCCCAGCTGTACTTAAGCAGCTGTCACTGTCCATCACCCAGCTAAAACACACACGCGTGCACACAGAGTGACAGAGCTGTCCCATAGAGAGCTCCTGGCTGTCCCAGGCACAGAGTGAAGCAACAAGATCACCTCCTTATCTGCTATGGGACTCTAGCTGTCAGTTTGTTATTTTGCTCCCTCGACCACATGTTTTACTCAGTTTAGTCGTTTTGGAGCCAGAATGAAGACTTTGGAGCAAATATTTGCCTTTCAAATGATTCTGGTCATCTCGGCTTACAGCACACAGAGAGGTAAGTCAGAAACTCTTGAGTGATCCTGGTGCTTGATGGTGTTTTTGTCTTTTCCTAAAGATGATGGTGTTTCCTGCAACTGTCCAAAAATATTTGTATAAATACAGTGAACTACAGGATAACCTTCATACACAGCATGAAAAACGAGCTGGTGTCTGCAGGCCAACTTACCCAAAATTTGATTATCTTCATTTCCTTCCTACAACTTGGGATACCATGTCTGTAATTTGTGACAGAGGAAATTGAAAGCCTCAGGTGTGTCACACGTTCTAATATACAGCACTTCAGCTGTATACAAGGCAACTGCATCACATCTAACATGGTTAGAAGCAGTGAGAGAAGCGCTGGATTACAGACATGTGATATGAGCACCATATCAAATGCTAGCGCAAACAGTTCATGAGCCTGGAGGCAGACATGCTGAGAAAGTGTGGAGCACCTCCGCAAGCTGCAGAGAGCAACAGGTGGCCTTTCTGTCCACAGAGAACCACAGGAGCTTCTGTACAATATGTGACATGGTGGAAGTTTTGGACACTGCATGGAAAAAAAAATAAATTAATAATAATAATAAAAAAAAGAGAGTTCACCTAAAGATGGATTGCATATTTGTCTTAGAAATAAAAACAGACTTTGTTTTAAATTACAATTCACATGAATACAAACATTAGTCATAGAAAAGGGATTCAATAAATGGCATCATATCTTGCGCTCTAATTTCTTTAGCACCGTTTTGTAAAATTGTCCAAAACGATTGAAATGGTGACATCCTTCATAGGTTGTAAAAAAATACACAGTGGATATTCACCTATGTAAGACTTACTATTTGTAGGTTGACCTATTCCTGGCTTTTTCTGTGGAATTTAACTCCAAATTATTTGTGGAAAACTGGCCTTTTTGCAGATTTCTCTCTTTTTATGCAGAGCATATTTAGAATATTCAAAAGAAAAAGAGGCTTTGGAAGCTGAGATGCTAGTAATCTTTAAAGCCAACACTTCAGCTCATTGAAGAATCTTTGGTACTAACTTTTTTAGCGCCGAGTAGTCGAGCAGTACCCAAACCCTCAATGTGAGAGCTAAATTCTTTCACTTAAGTCATTTAGAAATATTTATTTTAAAAAAGACAAAACATTGGCTTTTACTGTTATCCTTTTCTCTCATATGTTTTCTTGTTGCTGATGATCCTGGCACACTTCCCTTCTTGTTTTCTGAACTGTTTGTGTATTAGATTTTTCTAAGCTGAAAGGAAATCCAAATGTGTCTGATCTGAGGCCAACTGTAAACGGTTACTGTTACCTCATGAAGACCATTGTCTTCAAGCGATCATTTTCTAAGAAGTTTCCTGCTGTTTCATACTTTATGTAACAAAGATAAAACAAACAAACAAAAGATCAAACGTTTCTGGTTTTGGTTTAGTGAATAAAAATGTTCTGAGGTACAAAGATTATTCTTCGTTAAATAGAACTAAAATTTTGGCAGTCTGACAACAGAATGTAGAGAACGTACTGTTTGCAATGGATGAACTTGACACATGGCTTTTCATCTGATTATGAGGTTAAAATATATTTAATGTCTACTTGAGATTCAGTCATGGTGGCATAATGCAGGATTGATGCATTTCCCACACACATCAGTGATTGCAAGCACTTTACTGTCATGTGGCATTATCATCTGTATTTTTGAAATCCTTAAGTTGAAGTTGGGTATGACTGTAATTAGGTTAAAATGGCACATTCAAACAAACTAAGCAAAAGTACTAAATAAAACATTGTCAGTCTGTGGAAAAGGAGCAACTTCTTTCAGCTGCTTCAACAAATGTGTGAATCTCCTCTGTTCTAATGAATTTAGATTGCTGTGTGACAGAATGCTTTCTATTTTTTTTTCTTTATTGCTTAGCACCTCGTATCATCACTTTACTAGACACAGTGGATGTTCTTCTTGATCACAATGCCACCTTCATCTGTGAGGTGGAGTCAAGTCCCAGTGCTTCTATTGCATGGACCAAAAACAATCAGCCAATCATGTAAGTTTATAGTTTCTTGATCATTTTAGGGATTCTCTTCTAAAAGTAACCACATTTTGATAGGGACATCATATACATGTTACATACATAGTTAAAAAAAAGAAAGAAGAGACAGAACTAGTTAGTATTGATAATTTAGAGGAAAGCAATAAAATGCTACAATATAAAAATCCAAAATCACGAATGAACAGTGAATATATTCCAGTTGTTTTACACAGATGTGACTCATATTTTTACATGACAGCATGAACAGCACAAGTCCTTTTTTTTTTCCTCAATGAAACTCATGCCAGGATATTTTGACTTCATTAATAACTACATGTACATGGTGTTGTTTTTGGATTTGCAGGTTTCAGCTGCATCTTATTATTTACAGTCTGTATAGAACAGTTGTCCTTAAAGCTAATCAAGTAGAGATGCTGTGTCTTATTACCAGAGTTGGTTTCCTCCTAAATAAATTGTACCACAGCAGTTTTTATGAGCATTACTGCAGACATCATTAATGGAGCTAGTCATAATTTTGCCAGCTTGCACTTGGACAACCATGCTGACATCCATAGTAACTTGTACAAACACAAAATGCTGCATGAGATTCCAGATGTTCTCCTGCAGATGCAGGTCACTGAAGGGCCCCAGACTTTTCACATTGGAGTCTGATGCTGATCACATTAAAATTATAGTGTGAACAATTATAAAAAAATGAGATTTTAGCAGAACATTGCAACAGAGATTTAAGACCTGAAATATGAACTCTTAATTTAGGATTAGTTATATCATAAAAATGTAATCTCAGATGCTAGGTTTAAAGTTTAATGTGACTATGTACTAAAAGTAAGACTCACATAAATGTGCTGATTACAGATTATTTTTGTCAAAACAATGCAGATGCAACCGGTTCTTTTGTGGTCTGTAAAATGTAAAAGTAGAAGATTCAGAAGTTGTAACAAAGTCTAAATTGTTCACTTCATCACCACACTCCCTTTTGCTCTCTCAGGTACTATGACAACCGATACCTTACCAAGGAGCAGGGCCAGATGTTGACCATCCCTCATGTGAAAGAGTCTGACAACGGAGAGTACTGCTGCATTGCCAGCAATGGCATCGGAGAAGCTGCAAAGAGTTGTGGAGCTCTTCAGCTGAAGATGAGTAAGCTGTATTCTAAAAGTTTATAGTTTTAGAATAAAGAGTATATAAAAACTTTGTGAACCCTAATGTTTTCCCTAAACCAGAGCCCCAGATCAAGCGTCAACCTACCAACGTAACTTTACTGATAGAATCTAAAGCAGTGCTGCCCTGTGTTACCCTTGGGCATCCCAAACCAGATGTCACCTGGCTGAAAGACGATGAGCTCATCAAGGTAAGCACCTTTAGTATATTTTTAACATGATATCTGTCAAAGTTGATGGCCGGCCAATGTGTTTTTTAAAAATGACAAATTGTTGCAAAAAGAGAAATTATGTGAAGACTAGCAACATAGTTTTCACCCATTAATTTGTTATATTTTGCTTGTCTTTGCTTGGCCAATGACATATTACATTATGGCCACCTGATCAATGGTATGGTGGGCCCTGCTTCTCTTGCTAAAACAGCCCAAAACTGAAGAAACACGGACACCTCTAGAAATCTAAGAATGTGATTTGGGGTCTTGCACCAAGATGTTAGCAGCAGATCTTATGAATGCTATAAGGTGTGAGATGTTGACAGATTGAACTTATTAGTAGATGTGTATCACAAAGCTATGCAATTAAATTAGGAAAATTTGGGGAGCAAGTAAACGCTGCAAGTTTGTCACTCTCAAATCCTCAATCATGCTTGCTGTTTGGCATTGTAATTATAAAAAGACCACAACCACAATGGACTGCTTTTACCGTGACTGCTTCACTATGCACCCAATATGCTTGTTAAACTCAAAATATTTTTGCTTCACATTTATTTCCTTAAATAAATGTGTCAAAATAATACTTTGACAGCAAAATTCTTGCTGCCTAATACATCTCACCCACTCACAGGGCTGATAATAAAGGAAGCGTTGGTGTTTACATAACTTTTGAATAGTTATAATGTTATTCCTGACTCGTATATGATCTTGGAATACTGAATGGTTTAAACAAACTTTTTACACTTTATACAAATTTCTTCCAGATCAGTGACCGCATCACCATTCTTGATTATGGGGCGCTAAAAATTCATAGGATCCAGACAGAGGATGCTGGGATATACCGCTGTGTGGCAAGGAACAGCTTTGGTTTGGCCTTTTCAAAGCCTGTCACCATTGAAGTACAAAGTATGATGTTTACTTTTTACGCTTGCTCGGTTAAACTCATTTCAAGCAAGCTGAATTTATGACTTTTTTTCTACTGTTATGTTTAAATGAATCTAGCACTCTGTGTATCTGCTCAGCTCCAGCACGACTCCTGCGAGTTCCAAAAGAGAAGAGAGCAGATTATGGTAGTCAGATAACCCTGGAGTGCAATGCCACTGGAAATCCCACTCCCACCATCACCTGGCTGGAAAATGGGAATACTGTGAGTGGTTGCACCTAATTCATGTGCATATACATGTAAACATGAACACATTTAAAATTAATTCTTCTGGTTCTCATTTCATTCTTATTGTCTGCAGAATTATTTGTCATTTTGCATTGGCAGACAATAAATTGAGGCATATACAGTTTTGTTATTATTAATTTAAGTAATGATGTCGAAACATATTTAGACATCTAGTAAAGTATATAGATAATTATTTTTTATGTATTACCTGTTATTTTGTATTTAAATACTTTTGAATGTAAAGTGATTTTTGCCACTCACTGACATTTAATTAAACAAACAAAAAACTACAAATAATAATAATAAAAAAAATAGACACTTCATTGCTTCTATGTGGAGATTCTATTTGTGGTTGAATGAATGATTTAAATTATATTTTAAAAATATTATTAACAAGAAGTATACTTTCAGTAATGGCATTGTAATTAAAATATGGACTCTGTAAATAACTTTGTTGACCTCCGTACTACTTACTGTTGGAGAGGAATGATGGTCTTGTCATGGTGCTACTATTACAAAACTTTTCTAAAATCTCACAATCATTGAAAACCTTAGTGGGATTTTGCAAAAGCACGTTCTATTTTAGTTTCCCTTTCTTCTGGTTTTAGGTCACAGTAAGCTTCTGGTTCTCCACAATTAGTAAACCAAATTTCTCCTGATAACTTAATGATCTCAAGAAAAAATAAAAATCTTATGATAGATAGATGTTCATTCAAAGAAAGGTTGCACGTTTTCAGTGTATTTCCACAGCATAACAGTACAGCCGGATCCGCTAACTACAGTAGCAGTGCTTCTGAGGTCTTATTTAAATTGCAAAAAGGAATAGCTATTGAATACTATTCTGACTCAAACTTATTTGAGTCAGAACTCAACAATACTCTCTCCTGGGTGACAGGAGAAGTCATGTATGACTTGTACCCTAAACAGCTACTCTTTGAAGTTGATCTCCGGTGGTGAATACCTTCTAATCCTTTTCATGTTACATAGGTATCAGATTTTATGGGGGATATTAATTGTATTTATTGGGCTGAACATTGGCATGAAGTGGGAAAATATGCAGTGAGCATTCATTAAAATACAAATTGAGATTGATTCAACCTGTACTATGTTCTGGCATTTATATTTTTCTTTTGAAGGTGCAGAAAAAAGGGCTCGCTTATTTGAGTCAGAACTAAAACAGATTGAGCAGCTGTGAGATTGTAGGAATGCAGATGTTGAATCCCTTCCCCTTAATAACTAACAGAAATTACACTTTCATTTGTTGCTTTTGATATCTGCTTTTTGCACTTGATTCAGCAGTTAGTGAGCCTTCAGACGGGCCATGGGATCAGGGATATAAACAGCAGGGAGTTCTCATCGTGGCGACAAAGCTTTAAAGAGATTTCATCACAGTTATCTAATAATACCCATTATTATCAAGTTAGATAATAATGTCAGTCTTATTAAATGATAGAGCAATATGAGAATTTTGTTTCATAATTGGCTCAAAGTGTTTCAGAGTAAACGCTAGAATCAAAGCCTGAGAAATCGCTGAGATTTTGACTATAACTAATGCAGAATGTAAAGTAGGTCATATTTTTAAAGACGACACAAGACTTTCCTCATGCAAACAATTAAGCGTATGACTTACATCACATACCGTCTGGGTCTTTTATAGTTCAGGATGTTACAACATGATTATAGGCCCGTAATAGTTGTAAATACTAGGTCTGTTTGCGCGTGTCTGTGCGTGCTGATTAAAATGACTTTGGGAGGTGATTTTCTGGCAGCTTGTTAAGGCCATTAATATCAGCAAAGCCGGGTCCTAAAACAGACAGTGTGAAAAGCAACTTCAAACATAGACACAGCCACATGTCAGCAGCTAGCCTAGCCTCATTCGTTCACACATTCCCTCATTGCACAACATTACATACGTCATCTTTTATATGAAAATGAGAATCCACTTACATGACACTCATGTTTTGATTAAAAAAAAACAACAACTTTAAAACAATATTCACGTGAATTACTAAAAACTGAAAAAAGAGCATTTATGACTTGATCTGTATCCAATAAACCTTTCTCTCGTGTATGATTTCATTTCCAGGTGTCAGGCGCCTCTGTGGAGGAGACTTTGGAGGGAAATGTAATACTCTCCGTTCTTAAAGTAACGGTGACTAAGTCAGCATTATACACATGCGTGGCCTCCAACAGACACAGCGGTGGAGCGAACAATGTCAAAAAAAGTGCCAGAGTCACTGTAACAGGTAATGTAGAGAAAATAGTTTTCATTGCCATCAAACTCCCAACAAAAAAAGACTTGAAGTCTTTTTATTAGAAGTTTGAACTGTTTTATTGATGAGTGGTCGTTGTGACCAGCTGCTTATTTGTGTTGTTCTAGCTGCCAGATGGTCGTGTTTTATGCTGCTTCAGCTGTTTCTTGCTTTAAACACACCCTGCTCACAGTCGTCCTCAAATGACAGTGACCACACCTGCATACATACACACTCTGCTCCCACCTGGTTGTCCTTCAGTCCCCTCACAGATTACCATGACTTGAAGAGAAAAGCACCATGGCTGCTATTTGCTCTCCCAGACTGAAACATACGAATCAACTTTGTCTTTTTCATTTGTCTTGTGTCTTTGTTCTCACTGTTCAACTCGGGTTCATTCAACTGGTGTCTTCTGGACATTGCCTCTTTCCTATAGACTGGAGGTAAGAAAGGTGCCTTTTTTTTATCTTTCAGTTTATGGTCTTTTCTTAATGTGTTGAATGTCTTTTGTACACAGCTTTGTAAATATGTCCAGCACCCCTAGTAGAGATGTTTAATAAGCCTTTTAAAAGACTTTATATGTTAATTTTGGACTGAACATAAAAGAAAAAACAAAACAAACAAACAAAAAAAAAACTTTAATTTTGGGAGCAACTCATTACAACTTAGTAAGTTTTCACTTTGTGCTTAACTTAAGAATGTCTACCCCACATTTAGATTACTAAATGCATCAAGCTGCACCTGGATGATTTGCTGTTTTTGTACATATGCAATTGAACAGATGCACTGAGTGAAGTGGCCAGTGTGTGTCTTAATTTAAGTCTGAGGATTGCGATTTGAGTCATAAAAAAGGGAAAAAAGCTTGATTTTGGTTCTGAGGAACAATGAGAACCCATTTTAAGTTCACTCGTGCAGCACAACTGATTTTTAAGACCATCTGGTGTTTTAAATAGTTCATGATGCCATGCACTGGGGCCAACAGCATCACAGATCCAACTGACAACATGTGTGAGTAAGGTGCTTTTCTACATATTTAGGTCTTGTCTTATGTTACAGCCAATTTTAAGATCAGTCGGCATTCCAGTTGTAGTTCAGGTACGTTTCATCAAATTCCACCAAATTCATATGAAGTCTTCGTTTAGACTTGCTTGTCACTGTTGCAGTTGTTTTTGAACTTTTATAGATTATTTTGACTAAGTATGTGAAATGTTGAATTTGGTTGATGTTGCTATTTTCAAACTTAAGATCAACATCCCATGCAAGCAAGGTCATATGTTCTCTTTTCTTTCCTATTTGGAACAATGGGTAGCCATTTCATTACTTATGCATTTTAAGACATTTCTTATAAATGTTGAGGGCACAGTAGGTTATTTTTATTGTTAGATTATTTTTGGAGTTTGCTCATTCTTAAAATGTGATTTCCACCTCACTGCTTTTGTTGACTGTGCCAAACAGTCTTTATTTTATGAACCCCTGTGCAAAACTTTTAACTTTTTATAGTTTAAATACGGTACTGCAGAGACAATTGTAGCTGTACTAATACACATAAAAAGTCACAGACTTAGTAGAAAAGTCTTAGGAAGTGCATTTTTGTCTTGAAGACAAAAGTTGAGGGCATAAGAGGCATTAGATTGCAGGTCATAGACAGAATAAATGGTAACATTTCACTGTGATTTGACATCAACCACAGTTGAACATAGAAATTGAAGAACAAATGGGGGAAAAAAACAGGATAAATGGACTTTGATTTTAACTTTGCGCAAGCATCAATCTTCCCCTGAGGCAATATTTGGAATTTGTAAATGCGGTAAAACAGAATGACAACAAAAAACCCGGGTCTGAAAATAAGCCATCAGCTCTACATGTAGGCGTATGAGGGAGTCAAAATGACAAACGGGGATAAACGTGTTCCTATGCCAGAAGGTATGACAGGCAATGGAGAAGTAATCGCAAACATCGAACCAAGAAAAAAAAACAGGAGTAGAGGGAGTCTGGCACACAGGCAGGTTTTTACATAAAATGTGACAGATGTTCATTCACAAGGCAGAGAGGAAGTCTAGCAGACAGCATGCAATCCATGCAAACCTTCCACAGTTACTCTCATCGTCAACATCTGGATCATATTGAGATATTTCAGGTGAAAAGCATCTCATATTTTTACTAACCAAAGCAGTAAAAGAGAGACTGCCCCAGTTTTTTTTTTTATTTAAGTGTTTTTGTTCATCATCAGGTGAGTTGGGAAATGTATTTTTTTTTCTTTACTACAAGTTCTTGAATAACAATCTGATACAAGTCTATGTCTATAAAGTTAAAACAAACACTATTTGTTAGGAGTGGTCTAGTTAAAGTGCAAACTTAAAATCAATATAATTTTGATCAGTCATAAACTGTCCAAACACAACAACAAAAACAAAACAGAAAAAGAGACACAAGAGAACAAGTACTTGTTCACACACTATTTTTCTCTTTTCAACAGAAATCCTCAGACACCAGGCAGTCACAAGGGCAACACAGGCTACTGCAGTGCATATCGCGGAGATGCGTGTCGAACGAATATTCGAGACGATTCTCTGGTTTTCATCAACTCGTCCTTCTTGGATTCTGAAGCGATGCAGGAATACCTGGTTCAGAGCTGGTTGGCTAAGCTGGAAGGCCTCAACGAACTGTGCAACCCAGCTGCACTCTCACTGCTCTGCCACTCTGCCTTCCCTGACTGCAACCCATCAGGTGGCTCGGCCCCTAAACCGGTCTGCAGGTACTCTGTGGTCTACATTTCCCTTTGGGCTGTTTCTAAATTAGAAGCGAAGAGCAGTAAATACATTTAGACCATGTAATCCTCTAAATGAATTTCTCCACTTTTGGAACAGAGAGCACTGCCTGGCAGTGAAGGAGCTCTATTGCCATAAGGAGTGGTTGACACTGGAGGGGACTGGTTCAGTTCAGGCTGGACTCTTAAGCTCAGTCACCGGGGCCCAAATTTTCACTTCACTGCTACCCAACTGTCAGGCCTTACCAAGTCTTCACACTGACCCATATGGTTGTACATATATCCCCTTTGTAGGTAAGATATGACATCTCAAAACTGTGATGAGTGTTACTTAGTGACACTTCAGCTAAAAGGATAATTAATAGATTTTCTATATGTAAGTATATTTGTAATGGTTGTGATTGTGCGTAGATTTAAATTTCTCAAAGGCCAGAATGGTATATGTTGTGAGTTTTAAATATGCATTTTAGTTTAATCTGCATGCAATAGTAATAGATAATACAGTTTAAGCATTGATGTCCTTTTCATATAGCTTTTTTGTAAAAAAAGTACAAATAAAAACAAAACACATTTTAAGCAGATCATTTCCAACATCCTATTCTATTTCTGGTTTTCTACCACTTAGTGTCATATCACAATTTAATATAATTGTTCATGATAATATGAGTTTACCAGTAATGCTTCCTTTTAACGTTAGATGTTTTTTTTTTTTTTTTTTTTTTGTAATTTCAGATCTTCGAAAAGATCAGATAACAAGTAAGTATAAAAAAAGAAATCAGAAGAGAGAAACTGCAATAAAACACCAAGTGTCCTAATCCCAGTGTTTTCTTTGTTGTCAACAGAAACATGCTATGATGGCAGAGGTCGCTTCTACCAAGGCAATGTGAATATCACAAGATCTGGAATACAGTGTCAACCGTGGAACAAACAGGTGTGCAAACATTAACAACTTAGCAAATCTGCTATCAATTGGCGGCTCTGCTATTATCAATTTGTGCTCATGTTTAAGGTTTTCAAAAAGCCAGAAAAGGTGCTCAGAAGGGCCTAATCAAAGGCTGTGTCCAAATTCAAAGGACACTTTCAAAGAACACATTAATTTAGTAAATCATTCAAATAATTAAAAAGACTTAACAAGTAATAAAACCGCTCAAGCTTCAAGTTTGAATTTTAGCAGCTTATATTTAGTGTTGTTATGATGTTAGGTGACAGGACATACATGGGGTATGGGTGGTAATCAGTTTGAAGTCTCGATCAGTCGATTATTAGTTTCTCACTTTGATGTCTATGAAGTGATGTGGCCTAAATTTACTGCATCAGTCGGATTGGTCAAAAGAGTTTGTCACAAACTCCATACAGAGACATGGTTGTTCAGATAAACAAAACTGCAGCATTGTGTAATAATTATTCCTTGTGAAATGTTGGACGTATAGTATTTGCTAACAAAGTCTTATACATAACTGATATATACAGTTTCTGATTAAATTGTTTTCAAATGCTAATCAGTGAAAGAAGCCTATGAAAAGCTGTTAGCCTTCAACACTTATGGTCTATTTTCACTTTTAACAAACTTATACTGATATGACATGTTTTCACTATTTTTATTAAATATGAACTTCACAAACTCCACAATATCTGAACCAAAATTTTAGGAACATTCCCAGCATTCCTTGCTCTCACAGTTACACAACGCCTTGGGAGAGACGGTAGTAAGCTCCACAAAACATGTCACTGGACAATCACCCCCTCAGGACATCTGAATCTCTTAAAATGAATCGTTTTGGCCTGTAGAGCAAACATGCAGCTGTTGAAAAATACTTAAATCATTATATGACAAAGTTGTAGCTTAACATTTCGAAAATACAACAAATATAGTTGATATTGCTCAGATATAAGTTGATATGTGGGAAAGGAATCTAGTCAGCAATATCTGAGTTAGCTAAATTATATTTTACTTCATAAAAGCACAAGAATAAAAAACAAGTTTTAGCTTGTCCCCTTCCCTTCTTACTTGGGTAACTCTTAAACCTCTGAAAATCCACAAGCCTGCTAGGTGCTTTCACAAGAGCGTGGATAAACTGTAGGGATAAGGACATCTGAGATTCCAAGAATCCAAAGCCAAAAGATTTTCCCAGATGCTTTGATCAGTTTTATATTCATCATCCAAGATATCTACCCAAAAACTGACACAGACACAAAACGCTGACAAGTGCAAGCACTAGTGCATATGGATAGGCATGCATGGGTTAAACACAAACACACACTCTGCTGCCCAAAAGCCTCTTTATGTTTTTACTGCTTTCCTCACTTATAGGGTCTTTTTGGGTGAGCCGTTACAGCTCTTCTGTGCACTGTTGTGTGTGAGGGAGTGTGTGTTGGTGCCAGGTCAGCAGAGAGGGAGGAGCTTCTCATGTCACATCCAACCTCTGGAAGCAATTAGCTTTCACACGCATGTGTTAAACAGACTCCAGGACAAACTCTCTCTCTCCTTCACACACATACACACATGGCAGAGCGCATTATATTTATATACATGTTCGCTCAATTGAGGAAACAATTGCAGTCTAATATGACTCAGATGTTGGTGTATTCTCTGTAACCTTTTGTTGCTTTGAACCAGTGATCACATATTACTCTAATTTTTCTGCCTTCGTATACACCTAAAACTTTTGTATGTATAGATTCAACACAAGAGGAATTTAGTGAATAAAAATGAATCTGTTATTAATTTATTTTTAATTTAAAATGAATCTGCAGTAGACAACTGAAGTCAGCCCAGTTACAATGATCTGTTTTCTCCTCAAAATGGTCTGGGAATATCTAACGCAATAACAGTTTTTTCCAATGAATTGACCCATTTTGTGAGTAAATGTTTGAGGCTACCAAGCTTAGAAAAAACTAGATTGTGATATTATAGATAAGCGTTAATGAAAACAAAAGCTTTAAAACTTGACTGATGCATGTTGATGACAGTCCCTACAGTTTTGGGAAGCACCAGACTTTTATTTCCTCCTTAAAAGCATTGTAATCTCATCAGGGGCCTGGTTTTTACAGGAATAGTTTTCCAAAGGGCATTGATTGATCTGATCATTCCTTAATCACTATTTTGTGCTCTTTAATTTTACCATATATGAAGTGCTTCATGTAATTGCAAACAACAAAACAGACAAACAGAAGAAAGATCTCATTACTGTTTAGCTCAAAAGCACTTATTTCTTTTCTTGTATGTCACCCTGCCGAAGTAATCCAAGTGTGCAAAACAACACCTGCTAGGATATAACTGGGAGATGTAGAAAAAAAAACAAAAAAAACCCCAACATAATAAAACACTGCAGCTGGCTGCATGGATGGAGGAAGGAATGGGTTAGAGGATTGCATCTTTTATACTTTATTAAAAAAACAGAATTTGAATGAAATTAATAGCTAACTCTCTTTCATTTGTTTTATCTGAGCAAAGATTAGAACTTCATGCTGAAAAGAAAATTCTGGCTTTTTTTGCTGGTGTATGTTGGTTGTGAAACAGCATTAATAGATTATGCTCTGATTTCCTATTCTTGATAATTTGAAACAGAAAATGCTTGCTCCTGATTTCATATCAGTGATATAGAATTTCCTTGAGAAGTGAAGAAAACTTAGTCCATCCAGCAGAGTTTGTGTGAAAGCTAGCTAATTTGTGTGAAAGCAGAAGTATCCCATCTGAAAATTTTGTAAATTATAATCATGTCAGTCTTTGCTTTCATTTAATGTTGCATTGTGTGCTGGTCTTTTCATTAATCTATCTTGCATCAAACAAATTTCACACATAAACACCATCCAACATGCTATTGCACCAAGGGACAGTTCTTACCCTCCACAGTAAAGTCAAGTAAAATGAGCTCATATTGAGGCATGTGTTTCATGTACAGTGGGATACAATCTTTTTGGTCTGAATAATAAAGTTAAAAACTGGCATGGGGTCGAATCTATGTCACTGCGCAGAAGTGGAAAATCTGACAAATTTCTCCTCATTCTGCCGTTAGATCTGATGAGTCATGCAGACGATTGCTGCACTCAAAAAGCCAATAAAATGCGGTGGACGGTCACTAATTGCGTCTTCAAAGAGACTGATGCATTCAGCTGCACATTTCTCATTTCGCACAAGATGAACAGTTTAAGTGTTCAGAATTATTCAGCAGATTAAGTTATAGCTATTATGAGGTAATACAAGCTGGCTAATGTGGTGAGATTACGCCACCTTCTAAAGTTGTTTATGACATCATGGCGCATGATTAAACTAACCTGAGCAGAACAGTTTGATAAATCACTGTACTATCACTCTTTTATTCCTCTGAAAAGCCACCAGCTGTGCTTAGTGGAAATCATTTCATGTCACAAAAAAAAAGTTCACCGTAAAAACGTTTTAAGTTTCCTAAAGTGCTGCAAAACGTCTGGAATGTAAAAATGGTGAGACGTGGATGTATTCAGAGGATAAAAACTGAGTCCTATTCTCTACTAGGAGTCACTGCCATATTGATACTTTGCCTTGGGGATTTGCTCTACACAATCTAATGAGACAAGTCAGACTTTGATTTGACTGTTGCTTTCAGATGATTATTGTATAGAGGGCTTTTGGCAGACCAAACTGCAGGCTCACTAAAGAAGCTCCTAAAATCCTCAACAGAAAACATAATGCCATGTGGTTGTTGAGCTATAACTATATTGCACATTATGTGCTATTTTTCTGAAAAGAAAAGATTTTATAATCTGTGTTACACTGGAAAATTTAGGAATGTCAATAGTTCTATCTTTTTCTACTTACAAAATGTGTTTTTTTTTTGTTTGTTTGTTTTGTTTTGTTTTTTTGTAGGTTCCCCACCAGCACCGCCTATCGGTGGATGTCATTCCAGAGCTGATGAATTCAAATAACTATTGTAGGAATCCTGGAGGAATCAGTGACAAGCCGTGGTGTTACACCTCAGATCCTAATATACGCTGGGAATACTGCGCAGTGCCTCAGTGTGGTAAAATAATCACAGAACCAGGTTCTTTTGCTTTTAATTGTGATTTGCTTAATTAGTAGATATTCTAACATTCTCTTACCTTTAAATCACACCAGGGGCTTCATTGGCACAGAAATATTGCATATCTTATTTGTGACTCCAATCTCAGGATTTATCAATAATGAGTTGACCCTAAAATGTTTGAACTCCTGTGTTATCTTACTGACTGGCGCAAACACATTTCCAGAAATGCTGGCTGGCATATAAAACTTATGCTAGGAAACTGTTCCTGATGGGAAAGCAATTTTTATTCAACAGCAACCCATAATGAAGAAATGTCATCTATATGAATAAACACTTTGCAACGATGACTGTAACCTTCGTGGAAGGTATTTCAAATTTCACAGAGGGAACAATAATATGAATTTAAAGATTGAAAAGTCCAACATTGTGACTCTCTCTTCAGCCACCTTCAGGTCCAAAGAACAATAATTTTGAAACCATGCAAACATCTGTGGCTGGTCTCAGTGTGGCACAGCGGCAGTTTGTCTGCTGATTGTAGCCATTCTTGTAACATAGAGATCATTTTTGATTATTGTAAAAGCAAACTACTTGTTCACCTTATATTTTATATTTATTCACTTAAATTTGGACATGTCACTAGAAGCAACTGGTATTTCTGAATACCTTGAGTCCTCAGAGGACTCATTTCCATGTTGATTGTCAAATACAAAGTAAAACTGCTTGGATTTATGTGTAGATATTGTTTCATACATCTGGATTTGTCTGTCATCCCCTTTTTGTTAATCTTAGCATGTCCTCTTGAAGTCCTGGTAATGGTTTTTAATTAGCTTCTACTGTGTACATCAATGGACTGGTGACTTTACTTCTACTGTTTTCTATAGTGAGGAAGCCAGAGCTGACAGTCCCTCGTCCCCCTCCCACCTCGACATCATCATCGCCAGCCTACTCCATGTCTGTCATTGTCATTGTCCTAACCTCAATGGCAACTGCAGTCTTCCTCACAATTATCATCCTTGGCTGTCACAGGAGGAGAAAACAGTGGAGGAAAAGAAAGAGGTAAGAAAAAAACTAAAAGAAGAGACAAGAAACTTGAAAAATGCTGTCATGCTTTCTGATTTTTTTCTCATATGCCCTTGCTGTCAGAAGAGAGATTGGGACCCCAACACTGAGCGCGCTTCCATCTGAGCTCTTGTTGGATCGACTCCATCCTAATCCCATGTACCAGAGGGTTCCTTTGCTGCTGAATTCAAAGCTGCTGGCCCTCGAGTATCCCCGCAACAATATCCAATATGTCAGGGACATTGGGGAGGGAGCGTTTGGACGTGTTTTTCAGGCCAGGTAAGAGAATGATCAAAGAGGGCAACATGTACTTTCTACAATGTCTCTTCAAGTGGACAACAATGTAATAAAGCAATATTCCAACAGCAGAAAAGGGCTCTAGGTGACAATGTTTACAGTTCTCACACAGAGGAAAGAGAGGAGGATTTAGACAGATGAGAGGTTATCTTAGCTCAGCCAGGCTGCTGGTCATTTTGAGAACCAATGCGTCATTCACAAAGTCACAAGGGGAGCTGTTATAGGAGTCACCTTCACTTTACCTTGAACCCACAGCAGGATACCACAGACTCACACTGATCTCCATTAAACCAAACAGCAAACCTGAGTCACAAGGCAGTTTTATTACTACTGAATCATAAATCTGTCAACAACTGATTTGTCAACAATGTTCAAGCTGTACCTGGGTGTATTTAAAACCTGAAATATATTTAGCTGTATTTCTCTTCTCGCAGGGCGTTGGATGCCATCTTCATTATGCTATAGTAATTTTTATTGAAAACTAAATTTGTGAAGCAGAGTGGGTGGAAATTAAACCTTTTTAACATATATTTAAATGCAAAATAGAACCGAAAAAGAAAATCTCCCTCCTATAAAGCCCCCTTGAGCACTAGAGTTTCTAAATCCATTCCTTGAGAGCTACTGTCCTGCAGGTTTTAGATGCATTCTGATCCAACACAACTGAATCAAATGAATGGCTCATTGCAAACTCCTTTTACAAACCCGATGCCTATGCCAGACTTGCTAAAGAGGTAATTCAATCATATGATTCGGCTGTGTTGAAACAAAACGAAATCAAACACGTGTCCTAACAATCTAAAACCCCTGCCAGGAAATGGAAATGGCCTAAAATGTCTTCAATCGAAAACCACATCCTTTCTCTGAAACTTGATAACTCTAATGTTTCATTATATTAGTTTTTTTATATACAGAGGTTCGGAGAGCCACCTCAACACCCACACTGGAAAGCAAATAGAGTGGATAGAGTGCGTACATTGGGCTAAGAGCCTAAAAAGGCTGTTTTCAGTCTTAGTGATTGTATGCATCACAGAAAATGTGTTTCCAATTCTGTAATTTACCCATAGAAAGACTTTACAAAGTGGAGCAATTACGTTCATTCTTTGGAACAATTTTTCTTCTTTTCTGATCTGGATTCATAAATCAGATGAAAGAGCAAACCTGGTGATCAAGTCTATCAGACGCAAACAATGAGGTCAGTCTGTTGATTTGATCAGGGGTCATAAGGTGAACTGGTCAACTGGCGAAAATGGGTGTGAGAAACACAGTTCATTCAACTAGATTGTGTCATGAATCCTTGCAATATATTAAATTAAATGTATGATTCTAGCACTCAGAAATATTTATTTTAAGAATATTAAAATAAGGTGAAAATGTGTGGTTATTAAACAAGGAAATCATATGGAGGTATGGACTGATGAAATTGTGAATTAGGCTTTTTCAAGCTAATTTGTAGAGTAGTTTAGACTGTGTCTAGAGCAGACAGTTTTGCGAATGTAAAAATGTTAAAAATAGAACATAGAGTTAGGGAAAATGGACATGGATTAGGTAATTTTGTAGAAACAGAAAACACTAAATTCTGTAACAATCTGTATAAATCATTAAAGAACGTTGAAACGCATTCCAATTCTTGCAGAGCACCGGGCCTCCTGCCGCCAGAGCCTTTCACAATGGTTGCTGTGAAGATGCTGAAAGAGGAAGCCTCAGCTGACATGCAGAACGACTTCCAGAGGGAGGCGGCGCTCATGGCCGAATTCGACCATCCAAACATCGTTCGACTTTTGGGTGAGTAGGTCTCTGTGGAAAATGGTGAGATGGGAAGAGTGTGTTCCAACCAGACTGCAGTCACAGCTGGACTTTACATTGGATATCTGTTAAAGCAGTGGGTATTCTTCAAGTAAAAACACGGCACAAATACAAAAACAATAAAACGGAGAAACAGAAACAGTTGGACAGAGAAGAGACAGAAAAAAATGAAGCAAATAAAACAATAAGTACAAGGTCAAGGAACATGACAAGTTAAACAAAATACTTATATTTCTGTACACATGGCTACTGTGTCTAGAAAAAAAAAGATTATATTTTTTTCTGTTATGAGAACTAGTATTGTTCTCAAATGATTATTTCATTAGAACTGAAAAATCTGGCTAGTTATACCACTTACCTTGTAACAAAAGTGCCAATTCGCAGAGCCAGCAAGGTCTTAAGAACAGACTTGAAACTATTCAGAAAAAATTTGATACCGATTCAAATTCATGTTTGAATTTGAATACTAACCAGGCAATAATATCACCTCTAACCCAAATGAAAAAAATACATATATATATATTTGATACTGTCTAAGATTAGAAACACTTCAAATCGGTTTAATTTCCAGCGTCCTCTCAGATACAGTAATTAAGTAACTTTTTTGACGTCGTTAGTACTTCGGCATAAATGCACTTCAGACAGCTGCTTCATGTTTGCCATGAAGGAGCAAGACAACTAATGTGCTTTTATTGACCTGTGTAAAACAAATGGCCTCCATTAAACATTATCTCCACTAATTCAGCCGATCTTATCTAAGACAAACAGCTCAAATCCAAACATACTTTCAGGAAGACATTTAGAGGCATAGCATGCTCATTTTGGTACTTGCAGAGGATAAACAGAGCCATCGGTCATTGACTGCTCAAAGAAGGTTAGTTTCACTGTTCCTCTGGTTCTGAAATATCTTTAAAAGAACATTCAGTCCTCCTCAATGTCAGAGACCTACAGTGTTTGATGTGTTCCTTCGGTTCAACTTTGACTGACTGATTCATGTTCATTAGGTCTCCCATAGATTACGCAAGGAATTAGAATCCCGATCACTAGATTATTTCCTTAACCTCAAACTACCCTCAAAGCTAATAATACACTGCAACTGCTGTGTAAAAATATGTCTCCATAAGATGAACGACTCAAATTTAGAGACGACATATGATGGCATGTCTTTGCTTTGATGCATGAAGGTGTTCAGTTTAAGTTTCATATATTTAGCTGTGGAGTGAAGCATTTAAGCTGACTTTCAACTAAGATTACTGCTGACCACTAGGGCTGTTGTAAACAAATATTTTAGTAATCAAGTAATCTATCAATTATTCTTAGAAAACAAAAAAATCACATTTACAAAAGTATGGTTCTTGTTTTTCTATTTTTAATAAATAATAATAATAAACCCTCCAAAACTGATCCCTCTCCACCCACATTATGCTAGTGGGGTACTTGTGTGTATAATTTTGAAGATAATAACTGATTTAATAACATTTAAAATAAGGCTGCCACACAAAAAAGTGAAAAAGTGAAGTGCTGTAGATACTTTCCATATCCGCTGCAACAACACATGGAAATTGTGGCTTTGTCAACAAAATCAGTAAACCTTCGTATGAGATGTAATCAAATAAGTCATTTATCAGAACAAAGCTGAGATGTAATGCCAAATGTTAAATATAAGAGAGGTGATTTTTTGAATATTTTGTTTATACACCAAAGACTAAATTTCAGAGAAAGATAATTTAGTATCCATGACTCACATATTACATCAAATTTGAAATCATTGCTTAAAATAATAGCAGAACATTTTTTTACACTCATAATTTCATAAATTCAGCCTTCACTGTTTTGCTCATCTAAACCCTGTTCCTCAGTGGATTCCTGCCTGACATTATTTTATTCTGAAGGATAATCTGGAATCTCAACAAGAAATGAAAGTAAACCTCTGTGGGGTAAAACAACATTTGAAAGCATTTCAAATAACTTTGCTACCAGAAGGTCATTGAGCCATTCATTTCAAAAGCAAAAACAGAAACAGAGTAAATCATAGATACTCTTGACACAGTTCACTTTAAGGCAACGACCTACAAACTTTATTAGTTTATGGAATATCTTAAACTGAGTACAGATCAGCAAAAATAGAACTACAGTTCAAGGCCCTGTTTGGTATTTTCAACCCTCTCTAGGACAAATCAGGTTCAACGGCACAACAGAAATCAAAGATCAATTGGCATGTTCCAAACACTAAATACAACAAATTTGTTTTTTAGGTTAAAAGTTTATTTTGTTGATATTTTGTTTCGCTTATTTTGTGATTATAAGGACGTTGTTTGTTCTTTCGTCAGGTGTCTGTGCCGTGGGTAAGCCGATGTGTCTGTTGTTTGAATACATGGCCCAAGGGGACCTCAATGAGTTCCTACGTCGCCGATCTCCTACCCAGTCTGTGCGCACCATCAGCCGGGCTAGCCTATCAGCTCGCAGTTTCTCCTCAGAGGGAGAGTCAGCGTCTCTCACCTGTCCGGAACAGCTCTCTGTTTCTAAACAGATTGCAGCGGGAATGGCCTATCTGTCAGAGCGCAAGTTTGTCCACCGGGACCTTGCAACACGCAACTGCCTGGTTGGAGAAGAAATGATTGTGAAGATTGCAGACTTTGGCCTCTCCAGAAACATCTATTCAGCTGATTACTACAAAGCCAACGAGAACGATGCAATCCCCATCCGCTGGATGCCCCCGGAGTCGATTTTCTACAATCGCTACACAACCGAATCAGATGTTTGGGCCTACGGTGTGGTGTTATGGGAGATTTTCTCCCATGGGATGCAGCCATATTACGGAATGGGTCACGAGGAGGTTATTTACTACGTGAGGGATGGTCAGATCCTTTCCTGTCCTGAGGACTGTCCCCTGGAGCTTTATAATCTGATGCGTCTGTGCTGGAGCACCCACCCATCAGACAGGCCAAGCTTTAGCAGCATACATCGGATACTGGAGCGAATGCATCTAAACAGCCTGAGTGCAAATGCAGAACCAGAAGCTGACTCATAATTTTTATTGAAGTGATTCTTGCATGAGAGAAAGCACCAAGGAAACTGGGATTGTAGTTATAATTTGTCACTGAGAACAAGGATAAATGTCACACTTGATAATGTTGACTTTGTTAGCCCTATTTTTCTTGGGTGGGCATCATATGTTTAACCCCTATCCTATTTTAATGACAAACTATGCTTTATTCATTCTATTTAGCTTTTTTTTCCATTTTGGAGCCTGAAATCATAGATGTACCAGCCTTTTATAAGAGAATCTCACATAGGATAAATATTAAAATAAGAAATTGCCTCTCTGCTTGATCCACCTGATCTGAACTGCTTTTCAAAAGAAAATGATTAACTTGAATATGACAACCAATGCTCTGATCAAATGTTGTCGAATTTTATCTAGCTTTATAATGTTTCTTTGCCCAGACATACAGTCTTTAATAAACTATTGACAAGGGTTTCTTTAGGAGCCATGCTGATAGGCTAAAGTTAGTATGTGAACCAAGCCTTCCTTTCTGATGTGACTGATATTTTTCAGCTTGTAACATATTTCCACATGTGTAAAATTAATTTTTTAAGAAAGGTTTTTCTCTTGCTTCTAAAACTTGGGGCTTTAGTCATTATAAACTTGAATGACTAATGTTTCAGGTGCTCTCTTCTACACCAAGAGCTATCTGAGAATATCTGAGTACTGAGCAGAGGAGGTCACATAGAGGGACTCACACCAGTCAGAACTGTGGATATTACATGTATTACATCAGCAGCATGCGTCTAGTCTTGTTTCATCAAGTTGCCCACAGATCATTTGAAAAAGCACTAATAGAAACAACAATCCAATACTTTATTATTTTATTGCAAATTTGTATTTAGACTACTGTAATTATTCTCAGTTTAGTTAGTCAGTTTCTAAAAAACTATATTAAAAAGGCTGGGAGGTTATCTGCATGGGATGAAAAAAAGTCAAGCTCTGAATGCAGCTGAGTTAACCTTTTTTGTTAGTTTTTTGTACCGCATTTTGGAAATATATGTTTGTGGTTTTTAATAGTTCTTATATAATACTAGTTGTAGTCCCTTGTCATGTACTATAAAGACTTGAATCTCAAAAGTATGGTCATTTTTAATCATTTCAACAAGAGTTGTTTAAATCTTGCTTTTTATCAGTTTGGTTTTAATAGTTTTTTTTCTGTTCTTTATGAATTTCGAAGCATTAAACAGATCAATGTCATTTAATAGACAAAGGGCAGTAGTTCAAGAACATCATGCTCCCTTTTTTAAAAACATTGCTATGAAAGAAACTGTTTATTCCACAGTGGCACAAAATCACTTTTAATTGACACTGATCGTTAAAGTATATACGTTTTAATTCCAGTTTGAGGAATTTTTATGAGGTTTCTTGTTTTCATTGTTGGTTTTTTGATGGTCTTTCAAGTTTGCAAGAAAAACAAAATTCAGTGAGTTTTGTTCATAAAATGTTTCAATACTTGTTTAATGGTTGTTCTGCAAAACCACTTGGCAAGATCTGTTAATTTAGGCTCCTTAAAAATTAGTTGACTAAGAATAAGCCAACATTTGTCTGAAGGGGGCAACTGAAATAGCTTTTATGGAAGTAAAATGTCTTTTTGGTTTGGTTTTTTTTTAAGCAAAGGTTTAGTTCATATCAAACTGACAAGACTTTGCACGGAATTTTTTTTTCTTACATACATTGTGGAAGAATTGAATACATGAGAGATTCACATAATTTGAAAGAAATAATTCTAAATTCTCAGTTCCAATTTGTGGCGTTCTATTTTTATTTGTTACGATTCATAAAATGCTTTAAGTTCGTTATTTATTTTTGTATTTTTTGATTTCTACAAAATGATATACAGTACGTGTGTATGTCTGTATCGCCTATGAATAAACAAATATTCCATGTATCATTTAGTGCATGATATACTGATACTTAGCCTTCACTTTTATACCATGGGAAAATTGATTTAGGTATAAAATCATCCCACAATTTTACCGACAATTTGTCACGTCACATCTTGGACAGGCCCAGCCCAGGTCATCAACTTTATGATCTGCAGCTCATCACCAGAGATAAATCATCAAAATTCCGGTTAAAATGAAATAATAATAATAAAACTGAGATGCATGCAGGTACATCTAAAAAATACAGCATTATGAAACATGCCCTTTTAGTCCTTAAGAAATTATTTCAGATTTTCTTATTCATTAATCCATAATCATTCCTTCAGAAAACACATAAGGCCAGCATTTCAACATGCGCATGGTGCAGTGATATTTTCTCTCCACAAGAGGGTTTGTAAGGGTGGCCTTTAGTAATAAAAGACTGTGCAATTCAATGTCTTTGTAAATCTAATTTCTGCTTGCGTAACTATGTACAAATAAATAAGATGTCTTGCATCACGTTCTGTTTTTTTTGTTGTTTTTTTTCTTTTACATCTTTGCCAGCATGTTTTGTCACTGCATGGGTGTGCCTGTGAAAGCTTCATGGATTCAGTGCACTCTGTGTGTTTGTGTGTGTGTGTGTGTGTGTGGGGGTGTGTGCGTGTGGGTGTGTGTGTCTATACGCGTGTATGTGTGTATGCAGATTGGGGATGCCCAGTGTAAACTGTTTGGACAAGGCAGCAAGGAGTTTGGCCTTGGACCGGTCATCCCTCTTCTTTTCGACATAAACTGCAGCTCATTCTCTCCCTCTCCCACTTCCTCCTATGTCGCCTCACTTTTCACCTCCTCAACATCTGGACCTTATTTCAGGTTTTTCCTTGCCTTGCCTTTTCTTTCATTGCCTTGTCTTGCTTTTCCCTCATAAATAAGTCTTTTTGGTTTAACTGCAGATAATTTTGTGTCCTCATTACTTCTCTGTCTTCAAAATAATTTTGTCAAAATGCATCACAGAGACAGCTACATAGTTAAATGGTCTTCATTCACACTGAGTCATTCAGTCCTCCACGCAAACGGTTTATTTAAATGAAGCTCTAACCTTTCTCACAGCTGGGTAAAGCATCTTGGATTCTGGCATCTCAACATTATTAGAGTTAAGAATCCCTTCCTGTTTCACTGTAATAATATTCTCCTTTGGGCGAGTGAATCTTTGAAGTTCAGTGGTTATAAACTCGCTGACTTTCTGAGTGGTGCAGGTTGCAAGAAAATATGTCCTTCCAACTTGTGAATTTTTGAGCACGGGGAGCAATTTTGCTTTTCAGCAAACCATAATAAGAATCATGGAAAGTGTCCATGTTGACCTGACAGTGATGTGACATCCCCTTCAGTCAGCGACCGGCGGTATTTCCTGCTTGGCCATGTTGGCTTTCATTGGTCTATTCAGGAGCAACAGGAAGTATGGAGGCATATATCAGTCAGCTGGAGGCAAACACTCCAAAACTGTGGAACAATAAACAGTAGATAGCAGACACCCACGCAAAAACATGTCACTCTTTCCAAAAAGAGACTGTGGTAAGGTCACCGATGTATTTCATTTTCCGCCACTGGATACAGAACTGTTCTTGACCATTTCTATCTAAACATCACAGTTAATCACTCAAGCAGTCTAGTCCTTGTCACTACCATGCCGATTTGGTTTCAAGTCTCAAATTGGACATAAATAAACATTTATTCATCTCAAGTTACACCTGGAATAATGAGTGAGAACCAGGTCTCTCTTCTCCCTTCATGGTCCACTGGAGACAATCGTGCTAAACAATCAGCATGATTTTGCTTCCTATAGGCAACAAAATTCTGACTGCCTTTTAAAAAAAATACATATAAAAATTTTTTAAAAGGATATTTTTCACTATTACTGCACGTGAATCCAATTTTTTACGCAGAACCGACGTCGAGGATAAAGCTCCTCGGAGATGCAGATTCCGTTGCTCCAAGTTTCCGCAAAACAGAGATCCTCTCTCCTGTGACTCCGCCATTCAGCTCCCTCAGACTAGCCACCAGCAATTAGCAAACATTTGATGGAACTGCAAATTTGCTGATCTCAATATGCAAGCTACTTCTGAGTGAAACACTGGCAAATAAACGTTTGTTAAATGGTTATTAGAGGAGTGGTTTTGAGATGATTTCCTGAGCATCAGAAAAAGCAAGCATTTCTTAAAGAGACAGAAACCCAATTTAGGGCATTAATTTACAATCAAGTGTCTTATGTTTTATTATTTATATATGCGTATATTTTTTCTAATAACTGAAGTTAATAGTTAATTGACTGTGCAGTAAAATGGCACTATGTTGCTGAAAAACACAATACTGCCCCTTTAACATACAGTATAGGCATGCTAATCAGAATATTATGCTATCACTTTGATAACCACATTCTGTTTGCACGAGAGAAACATATTATTTTATTCATTTTCTAGCTACATATTGTGAATCAAGTCTGAAATGCCAGCCAATAGTTGTTTCAGAAGCTTTCTTTTTTTTCAGCATATCTTTCCTGAAGCTGCAAGGTGTTTAAATGCAAAGCACTCTTGCAGAGAGAAGACCAAAGGTCTCAAAAATGTGTGAGGTATCTCTAAGGTTCATGCATTATTGTGTCTGTGTATCAGGAACCCTCAGTGTTTCCTGTCCGAGCTTTGTGGAAACCGAAACAGAAGCAAATAACAGAGAAACAACCCTGGGAAGACCAAACAGTTTTTTTTTTTTTTTTTTTTTTTGTCATTTTATTTTCTTCTACACATTTATCAGATCACAAATCCCACTCACACATGAATTAGAATGCTTCTAATGTCTTGTTTTATTGTTTTTGAAATAACACAATTGCTTTTGGTGTATATTCATTGGCAATGATGTTTGATATTGGAAAACCATTTCTGTGTCACATTTACACACTACAACTACGGGTATAGACAGGTTTGCCATTTTTTAGGTTGTAAAGTCATGTTTTTTGTTAAAAAAAAGAAAAAAAAAAGACCTGCATATGGGAAATGCACTTGGTAAGACATGCTATGCAAGCTAGCTGTGCCAAACAACAGCAGTAAAAGGCCACAATAAACACTGATTCACCACAAGACTACAAATGAGGCACATCTTGTTTCACGTTTCACTTTTTTGCAATTAATTTTGAAATAACATATTTAAGATATAACTGTACAATTATACTTACAAGAGTATGCAAAGATGACACAATAGTAAGGAGACAAGCAATGACAGTTTATTTGGTTAGCTATAATAAGCTGAATAATTCATTAGTCAGAAAAAATGTTGTGAACGTGAAGGATGACAGCAGGTATGCAGTTACTGAAGTGAAGAGCGCAAACCAGTGTCCAGATGAACAGGTAGGGACAGTTTTAGAATTCGTTTTTATTTAAAAAGACAAGGCATTTTTAAAATCTCCCTTTTAAATGTGTAAAAACAATCAGACTAAAAAAAGCACCAAAACAGTCATCTTGACATGACCAAAAGATGAAAAAAAAAACAACTTGACAGCTTTGAGTAAGGTGCAATTCACAGCAGTGCTTCATCTTTAATTCACCTGAAAGAAAATAATCTACACTGAAATAAATTGGCAACATAGATTTGAAGTCTTTAAACATCACATGTTGACTAAATATGGGAAACTTCAACTGATCAGTGGAATGTTACTGTTTAGCTTAGTAAAGGAAATTAAAAATCATGTTGGTTTCATGGACATGTTGAACTGAAATTTCATAAAATCAAGTTTGTACATTAGTATTAGTTGTGTAATACTTTGTGTTGGTACAGCATGCTGCTATTATTTAATTTATATTTTAGAAGTTTAGATTACAGTTAAACCACAAAATCTTTATACAAGCTATGTTAAATTTTCATGTATATAATCTTTCAGCATTACCAAAAATGTTTATGCTCTAAAATTATTTTTTCAGTCTCCAGTGAGATGAAAAAAACCCCAACAAAAACAAAAAACAAACAAACAAACAAAAAAAAAACAGTAGAGGAGAGAGGGTTAAAATGCATTCACGATGTTGGTCATTACAATTAGGGTCAGATTGGCTTAGATACAATTAACAATACATAAAATTATTATATGAAGATATTTCTTGTATTTAGTCAGGTTATCTTTGTTTGAAATTAATGATCTGAATTGTTCAGGCGTGAGAAATGGCAAAAGCAAAAGAAGTCTTGAAAGTAACAAACATTCTGGGCTCCATAATTTATCTGTGGTAACAGATTGGTGAAGGGGAAAATAAACCCATTCTTTTTGAAACAGACATACATGAGTTTTTACTAAACAAAATGTGGCGTAGCTGACTCTATTTAGGAATCATTTCAATGCTTCAAAATGTACCTGATGCAGAACAGTTGCAAAAAACAAATAAAATGAAGAAAAAAAAAACCTTCTCTCCTATTCACCAATTCATTTTCACTGGACCCTCTTTTGATTCAGTCTCCGTATCTTTCGAAAACAAATGTACTCATGGTCTATTTTTAGTAATGCTAAAAGACTAACAAATGACTATTTTACTTTCTCAATCCAAGAGTCTAGCGCAAGATATCAATGTAAAGTCAGAACTTTGACAATAATTAGTGTATTTCACAAATTTAACAAATTAGTTTGATGAATACTGTAAAAGGATGTCAAGCAGAGTTCGTCATCTCATCTGCTGCTACTTAACCAAACTACATACTTTTATATACATGTGACCTTGCTTATGTGATTAGTAATAATGTTGCAGTAAAAGTTCAGGGAATTTCCTTTCTTGTAACTTCAGAGTATTTAACACAAGCTTGTCGTCCCCTGGAGGAACAGTTGCTAAGACCATGATTAGAACATACATTATCACAGAAAGGTGAAATGGATTTTGTTTAAGCCTGGCATACGTTTGCGACACTAACCAACTGCAACTCATCTTGAAATAGCAGACCTTTGAGGAAATTGCTCATCAGAACTATGTGTGACTGGGATTTTATTGGGTCTGCTAGTGGCACATTCTCAGCACCGCTCTGTCTGAAGTAAGTGACACAGCTCCGAGCATGACTGCAGAGTCTTAGTCATGCTTCTACTCTGCCAGTAGGTGACTTTATAAGCCTTCCATTTTCTGAGAAGTTTGTCAACATTTTTGTCTGAGAGAAAATTTGTTTAAGCTCATTTATTTCACTCGACCTGCTGTCATGTTGAGACAAACGCTCAAGCAGAGCTTCATCTCAGCATCATCTTCAGTTTGTTTCTAAACAGATGATCAAAAAAAATGTGAAAGCTTTGGTAAAGTAAAATTCTACCTATAAGTTGGAATAAGCAAGTTGTAGGCATTGGAGTAGCCGATATTTCTTTAAAATATACAGACCAGTAGGTTAAATCAGATTAAAAAAACACTAGGAGAATAGCAATGTTTATCTGTAGAGGTAAAAAAAAACCACACATCAGAACAGTTCTAATGATTTAGCCTACTGAGCACATTTACTAATTTGTTGCCATTTAAGATATTAACTTGTCACTGCATTTTACTGCAAAGCAGTGGAATCTCTTAAACAATCTCTTAATGTCTTCATAACTAGCATAAAGAAACACACACAACTGAATCTTTCTACACTGTGGTTGTAAGGCCAGCGTAGTAAAAAGAAAAATATATACATTTTGACACTGTCTGAACAAGAACTGTGATAAATCTGAAATAATCATACAATTTTTACCATTTGCCAAATACTGGAATAAGAAATTTTGGTAATTCTAACTGACATAAGTAGGAAAAATCAAAGTCTGGTTTATTGTCAGACAGTGGGGAAATATATGCTAATATTTATATTCCTTATGAAAATATTTGGTCATTACTTGCCAGCAAAGAAATAAAATTTTATGCAACGGCTTATGAAGACAGAAATGAAAAAAAGCAAAATGGCAGCAAATGGATACAAATGCCTCTAAATTCACTCTGCTGGTTCTACAAATAAAAACTATATTTTTCTCTGGAGTCTTCAGCTAATCAATGCAACAAATATATCGGACTAATCAAAACTGTGTAATAGGACTAAAAAAAAAATAAAGTCTTCTTTTGGTAAAATTGTGAATTTTAATCTAATCTCACAGATGCTAGACTTCTTTAAGACTTTCTGAAAATGATCAAAGATTTAAACTGATGATTTGTGAAGTTGATACTTTAATCATTCACCATACAGTCCATCTGCTCCATCACATGACATAATCATAAAGCAGCTTCTGTTCAGAAACCAGAATGGTGGTGAATCTATGAGGAGTTTGCTCATGCCTCAGTTATAGGGAAAGGTAACATGAAAATGGGTCTCAACAGTTTAGTCTCTGTGTGTCTTGAATTGTAGAAGTTCCAAAGTTAAACAAACTGAATGGTTATACTGGCATTACCATTTCACAGATTACTTAAATAATTCATATCATCTTTGCTTGTAAAAAAGAAAAAAAAAAAATCACCTTTAACACAGAAAAACAACATACTGCTAAACAAAAATACGAACACCCAGTCAGAGTCCCCGAACATTAGACTTCCCCTCTTCCTTCATTTGGTTTTTCCATCATTCTTTTTACTTCCATTCTTCTTTTTTTGTCGTTTCTTCATTGATCTCTCCATCATGTTGATCAGTTTGTGTCATCTGTTTGTAAATTCAAAGAGCAGTCTATGATCTGTCACATTCACATCCCTCGTTTCGTATTTACCTAGTCTCAGGCAGAACAGCTACAACTTTCAGGCTTCCTTTTTGCATTCATTTCAAACCACCGAGTGCTCATTGTGATGGTGATGGACGCCGCCAGCGCCCAGGACCGTGTGGTTGACTGAAGACGCCGAGCGGTCGGATCCGTCCACCACCGCCCCATTGACGTTCTCCTGCCGCTGGCAGCACAAGATCTGCTTGAAGGTGGCGCTCATCTCCTTGTCCCGGTATGAGTAGATGATAGGATTCATAGCCGAGTTGAACTCGGCAAGGAGCAGGAAGAACTTCTCATAGTTGAGGACGGTGCAGCTGGAGCAGAAGACATCGAGAAGTATGAGGACTAAGCCTGGGGTCCAACAGATTATAAAGGCACCTGAAGACACAAAACATGCATTAGATGTGTGTGCAAGTGTCAAAACTGTCACCTAAATCATTCTTCCAAACAATGATTTAGGTGTTGGTCAACAGGAAGCCACAGTATCGAATAAGGAAATTCTTTTTTTAGTCTGTTGCTAGCAAACAAGATTATTGTTAATAGATTTCCACCACTTAATAACCACATTGTTAGTAATTGACAATATAAGGAATCTGTGACACCCGCTGACCTCATGTGAGTCACGTCTAATAACGGAAAATGAAAAGAAAGTGTTTTTGTTTCAAAGTGCCTTTGAAATGTTTTGAATTGTGGCTGCAGTGCATTAGTGGGTATTTACAATGCTCCTCAAGTGCAAAACAGCTCTGAAAGCTTTTATTTTAACTAGTAAAATATGGACACACAGCCCATGTTTTACACAAAACCAGAATCCCAACATATCCCATCATCCTCACTTCTAGGCATTAGCCCAACCTTCCTCGAGTTTGGGACGGCCCAGTTGTTTTATTTTGGGATAATTCTGTAAAATTGTATACATATGTGCATTTGGTGTACACTGAAGCTGATTGAGGATAGTATAATTACAGAAAGTGTCATTTTATTGTTGTGAGCACTTTTTTCCACAAACTGCTTGAATGTAACCGGCCTTTTAAACTTTTGAGTCCTCATAACCCACCGAAGAATAGACACTTTTAGCACTTTAAGACATAATGAATCTCAATTTCTGTCTTGTCCGACTAATATTCAAGTATATGTTGTTTCCAAACAATTTTCAATTATTTTACTGTTGCACTTTTTTATTCCAATTAAATTTTTTTTTTTAGATCTGTCATTTCTGCCATTTCTTTGTCATTTCCCCAAGGTCATTGGTCTCTTGAAACTATAAAAGAAAAACTCAATTAGGAATTGTGCAAGTGGAGAAAGAATTGGGAAAGAGAGAGCTGACAGGCTGGCCTGTTATCTGTTTGTACTGTTCACGCAGCAGCTGCAGGAAAACGCTTGATCTCACTTCCCAGCTATGCAGGCAGACTCTCCAGATTCTGCACAACTAGTTGCATTTCCTGGATGCTTCACAACCCAGTGTACAACATCTCTCAAGTACTGTTTGGATCACCAAGGAAACATTGTACATTTGAACACAACACGGTCAAAAGTACAGAAATGAATAAGGGAAAGAGAAGAGTCCTAATAGTGTGCTCTTGCACTGCGAAACAATGCAACATGTTTATCTTTTGTAATAAAATGAGACAACTTTTAATCAAATGTTTACAATGAGTTTGTTCACATTGTAATATATAATTTAAGAAGTACCTTTCCTCATAAAGTGTAAAGAAAAAAAACACCTTTTTTTCTCCTTTTGCCTCCCTTGAAAATGCCAAAAGGAGGGAAAAAGGGGCAGACTAAGTGGAAAGTCACTGGAGAAAAGTAAATAAACATACTGAAGCTAGCGTGGAAAATGTTGAAATGTATGGTAATCTACTTTGCATGCAGTTAGTGTCTGGAAAGAACCTTTAGAGCTTCTTAGAAAGACCTGTACTACCTTGAAAGCAACATTGGCAGAAGAAAATGTCAAATGAATAAAAATTACACAGAAGTGGGCCTGATGTTACAGAAAAAATAGAGACCAATGTGATTCAACACCATGCAGTCAAAAACCACTGAAATACAGCAGCACTTTCTGAACTGAGGGAAGGGAAGCGATAAAAAAAATGACACAGAGATGAAAGATCATCTGCAAGTCGTACAGATCTCACATAAATCTTGGTTTCATTGGAAAATTAATCACTCAGCGATTACTGCTGCTGTTAGAAGGAGATCTGTTTTGGCACTGATCACAACAGTTTTTGTCTAGTGGCTGAATCATTGTGTTCCTTCTGCTTTTCATTGTCGAGATGTCTTATCTATTCCTGAAATGTGGTTCTGTTCAGTCACAGTGACCACTCAAATTTCAAGAATGCACATATTTTTTCTTTTACAAGACACCAGTCTTTTGCTTCCTGAAATATCCTAAGAATATGGAATAAATCTGTTTGGCAAAGCTTCAAGAATGTTTGAGTGCAAAGCTGTCTGTACACCTTCAACCTTTACATGTTATGCCACATCACAGCATGTGGTTTCAAAGTGTTTTATTAGACTTTTAAGAAATGGTTCAGAGAGAACAGACAACTCAAAGTGTGGCTTAAAATCCAATAGACAATCTGTTGTTAGGCCTAATTAGTGCTGCTACTAGACACTGTATCTGGTAGCAAATGTTATCATTTAGCAAAGAAATGATTCATCTCTGGATTTATAGTCACATACTATTTGCTATGACTATAGGTACTCTTTTTCTTTCTTGTTTTTCTTTTTTACCTTGTAAGCCTATAAAACAGATTAAAGATAAAACAATCCATTGCTTAGTACTGCTACTTACTGTTTTGGACTGTAATACTTTTGGTTGAGGCAAAATGTGAAAATGGTTCAAGGATGTGATTCGTTTTGCAAGTCACTATTTGTTGGTCCTGATTGTGCACTTTTAGAAAGTTCTAGGTTGGGGAAGGTAACATGCATGCAACAAAGGTTCAACTGATTTTTGTTTCAGTTCAAACTTGATTTAGAAAATTGTGCAACAGTGGGAATAAAAGAAGCTGAAAATGATTATCCTTGGATGCGGATCAGTACCAGTGAGAGAAGGATGAAGTTCAAGCTACCATTTTCATTGAACATGGCCGAGGATCACATCCCCGACTACAGCAGCTTTCTGTCCGGCCTTATAATCACATAACCAGAGAGAGATATACAGAAACAGAGAGGAGCTGCAAAAGCAAATAAGGTGGATTAGCAGTGTTTGCCAACAACAGTGCAAGACTGACTATTACTGGATAATCATTCAGCCCACAAAATCACCATCCATAACAATCATTTTCTAGCTACTTGGATGATTAATTTCATGTTAGGATAAAGATAGTAGATTTTCTCTGCCTTATTACCAAGAGGCTTTAAAAATGGGTAAGCGTTAAGTGTTGAAGTCAGATTAAACAGTGATGCCAACAGTTGCAGAAATTCTCTTACCAGTTATGAAAAGAGAAAATGCAGCAAAGTTTGTCAAGTATGAGTATTTGTAAGTATTGCATTTGTTTCATGGCATTACAGGGAAATATCTGACTGTCTTTGTCTCAAGCAAACTCCATGATAATCACTATAAGGCAGTGCAGATGTTGCATCCATTGTCTGACAAACATCCATCACCACTCCCATTGTCAGTGCCCTGCAGCTAACAGTTTTAGCCAGGCATATATTAGCCTGCAAATAACTGGAAAACATCGTGGTCATGGCAAAGGACATTAATGTTGACAGTTAATCGGATCTGTCAGTGTTCTGGTAGGTCCGGTGAGCTAAATTCACTTTGCTGCCGTTATACAAAGACATGTACTGATAATAAATGTTCTTAAATAATTAGGGAAACAAAGTGCTTGTAGGATTTGTGTAACTTGGTAAAATCTGTATTGTTAATATACAAATAATTTTCATTTCTAAATCAGAAATCAAATGAGTTCATGTGAAACATAAAACGCAAGTTTGAGTCAAAGAAGAGTTTTTGGCAATATTTTGCCTTAATGAAGCTTTCCAAATATTTCTCATGTGTCAGCATGTTAGCTAAGGTTTCAGCTAAAGTGATTACTCCCTGAGGCTTTTAAATCCATAAGAACTCATTATTTCATTACTGCTCTCTTGCTCTCCTTCCACTTATATCCGTTTGTCGCTTTCTGCCTTTTTCCGCAGCTGTTTTGGTTTCCTGTCTTATCTCCAGCTTGCTTTTTTTTTCATTTTCAGTTTTTCATGTCATCCCCTGCCTACTCAAGTTACTTCTCTGTCCATAATCTTTTGGCCCATTCTGTCATTTTTTTTGTCCAAATGTCACTCTCAATTTAGCTCATTTTGTTGAAACCAAGCTATCCTCTGTGGTTGTGACCATCATCTCTATATAGCTCAGTGGCTTCTCTGAAGAAGTGTTTTTTTTCTCTTTCCCACTCTTTTCTGTATCAGGGTTTTCAAACAAAACGAAGCTTAAATAAAAGTTCATGTTTAGTCACTGGGTGTTTAGTTAACGATAAAGGGGATTATGGCGTGCTGTGAGAGGGGATTCCTGTAATGGTTTCACCAATGAACAAAGTGTCAAACTCAGAATAGTGTTTTTGGCTCCAAGTACACAGACTTCCTTTACAGTAATATTTTGTTCTTCCTCTCAGTCCATAATTTATCTGGTGAGTTGTGGCTCAGCAGTGACTCATTTGAAAGTGAAGCTTCTGGTCTTTGAGCCCGACTTCTGCCGTTTTGTTCAAAAAATAAGCAAACAGAAACACATTCAGTGTAATTATATCTTTTGTGTTCGACAAACGTAACTTCCAAATTGTGACTATTTTCCAAAGGGGATTGGAATCATTACTTATATTTTTGCCTACATATCAAAACACTTTGCTGTAACTTCTTGCTTCTGTGGGTAGTTTTATGTCTGTGCTTGTGGTTTCTACTCTGAATCGGTGAAGGTCTGATGATTAATCAGGAACATAAATAAAAAGCAACATAAGATGGAACAACATAATGTAAATAACCCAACAAAGTTCAGAAGATCTGCCTTTAAAACCAACTCAATTTAGGATGTTCAGAGCTTATACCAATCAAAAATTGTCTGTCTCTTTAAATAACTTTAACCTGATTAACTTAACCATAGGTTATCAAAATTAAAGCGGATCTCATAACATTATTTACTGAGTTAAATATCTTATTCTTAAATTAAGCAGCCAGCTGTTTAATTCCATTTCAACAGCTGTATAAAAAAAAAGATATACATTTTAGCAAAAATATCTATAAAATAGGCTGTCAAAATGAATCTAAGAAAAAAAAAAACTGAAGAGGTCAACAGTAAAAACAGCAGATTGGGGAGATTAATTGTGAACCAAATATGTATTCCTGAGTTATTAAGAAACCTCACAATGGTTCAAGTTTTGACCTAAAACACA